CAAATGTGCTACCCACCGTACTATCACTCCTGCCCCGCAACTTGTTTTTGTATTTGAAGATTTTCATAATAAAATGTTGTGAAGAAAACCAGAGTTATAGAATAAAGGGGTGGATATATTGTTCAATATGTGGTAAAATTCGAAAGCCACGCGGGTTCCGGGGCCGAGACCTCCAAGCCTACTCGAATTGGAGTCGAGCATCTTCCACCCAGATCCTCCAAATTCCAGTAGGCGGGGGTCACACCCACCACCTGGCCCCCTGGCGCCGTGTAATCCCATCAGCGGCCAAGACTCAGAGACTATAAAATCCAGATCCCGGACGAGAATAGTGCAGTCTCTGCCCCCGCGCCTGGGTGTTCCTTCCCGGAGTCCCTTGGAGGGGAGCGGGTTGAGCTTTCCTCCCCGCCCCGACCAGGGCTACGGCAGCCGAAGACCTCCAGGACCAGCCACCACCATGCTGAGACCACTCTCCGCACACATGAAGGGCTACGGCAGCCGAAGACCTCCAGGACCAGCCACCACCATGCTGAGACCACTCTCCGCACACATGAAGGTACTGGCAGAGGGACAAAGCCACGCGGGTTCCGGGGCCGAGACCTCCAAGCCTACTCGAATTGGAGTCGAGCATCCTCCACCCAGATCCTCCAAATTCCAGTAGGCGGGGGTCACACCCACCACCTGGCCCCCTGGCGCCGTGTAATCCCATCAGCGGCCAAGACTCAGAGACTATAAAATCCAGACCCCAGAACCGCGCGGCCGCGACATCTTATCAGAACTTTTTTTTATGACATCTTATTGTCTCATTCCTACTTTGGACAAACTTGCAGGCTATCGAATGTAGCCTGCCCACAGGGCAGAGTCTGGCAAACTCCCCGTGGCATACCAAATATGCCAAATACCAGTAACAATGATGGGTCTCATTCTCCTAAATAGCCTTGAATATAATCTCAGGGCTAGGATGAAAGAGACGTTACTGGGGCCTGCTCGAGGCAATCGACGAATAACAGGATGATGAAATGAAAATGAAATGAATGTGGTTTGTATTAATATAATAATATATTAAGATTATTAGTGTTGAGCTTATTGATTATAATATGATTAATTGATAATAGTAAGGTATTAATAGATGAACCAGGGTGATGAATATGAGTCTTCTTGTGCAATATTTTTACATTTTTGAAAATGTTCCTTAATAACAAGGGAAGAAGAATTTGTAAAAAAAAAGTAGATCCTTGTCTAAGTGAACCAGTAAATTGTATTCCTCATCAATGTTGTCAACTATGGCATCTCACCATGTTTCTGCAATAGTGCCAAAGAGCTCCCAGTTGGTGGTCATTCTGGGAGTTCTCTTTTTAAACTTTGCAGCCCTTTTTCCCCACTCTGTGAAGTAAAATTTTGCATGAAGGAAACGGTGGTCCAATCCTGTTTGGAATTTGGGGACAAAAGCGACATGGGTCAGGCAAAACCATCAATTGAATATGATGTGGTCTATTTCATTGTGGAACCGTCCACCAGGAGACTCCCATGTACAACATTTGGATTCGACCTTCTGGAACTATGAGTTACCATGGATGGTCTTGGTTGACATAATGAACTCAGACAGTCTCTCACCCTGTTCGTTCCATTCTAGGCCATGGGTCCTGATGAGGAGTTCTTTGACTGATCTTCTCGGTCCTATCTTGGCTTTAAAATCACTGACAATGATCTTGTAGAAGGTGTGGTCTTCTTTATAGAAATTCTCCAGCTCCATGTAGAATTTCTCAATTTCTCCTTCATCATAATTGGATGTTGGTGCATAGACAACGAAGATAGAAACTGCTGACAGTGAGCCACATCTATTCAAGTGTAATCATCCGATTTGGGTTGTTAGGCATTTGAATGAATCAATGCTCATGGCCAAGTTCATGTTGACAAGGACACCGATGCCTCCGACGCCTCTTTTATCGCATGTTCTGAGGAACAGTTCTTCTCCAGTGTTGAAAATGGTGTGATGTGATTGATACCTTCTTGTCTTGGTCAGACCAATGATGTCGTACTTGATCTTTCGTGCTTGTACCATCAGGTCCTCGATGGATGTATCTGATGCTAGCGTACGTGCATTGAAAGTACAGACAATCATTTTTGTCTTTCTTCGTTTTGGCAGCCTAGTTCGGCCTTGAGATTTTATCAGCCTCTCCTTCCTCATCCTTGTCAATGCTGCCATATTGGTGACGCCTTCAGGGTCAGGGGAATGAGACCAATGATTGTGTGAGGAACGCGGAGAGAAATAGCCACAAAAAAACACCTGTCTTTGAAAACTCTTGAGCTTATTCACCAACGTGGTTTGGCGCATGCCTCAGGCAACCACAAGCTAACGTCTGAGCTCGCAAAGCAGTGCAGAGATACAATAAAGGAAGACCTCAAAGAGAGAAGAGCAGAAGTACTGGTAGATGCGGCAGAAGCCGGGGAAAGCATTTGTAACACCTGCCTATCCTTCGCCAACTACAACACCAAGATAACTGCCCTCCGACGTCCTGATGGATCTATCCCATCTTCCAGAAGGGCAATGGAGAAGATTATCCATGACCTCTACTCAGATCTCTTCGATAGCCACGTCCACCTGCCCACATACCAAATTTTGCAGGATGGATATGTTGTTCCCAACGTTCTCCCTTCTGAAATCCAACACGCCATTTCGTCGGTAAAGGAACAATCAGCACCTGGCCCAGACAAGGTCAGACCTGAAGACCTGAAGAACCTGCCATCAGTACTTATCAATACGCTGGCTCGGCTCTTCACACGCTACCTGTGTGAATGCAAGGTCCCATCCCAATGAAAAAGCAGCAGGACTGTAATACTGTACAAGAAGGGAGACATCCACGACATTGGCAACTATCGCCCAACCTGCCTATTGTCTGTCATCTACAAGCTGTTCACTCGAGTCATCCTGAATAGGATTGGCAGAACACTAGATGAAGGACAACCATGCGAGCAAGCTGGTTTCCGAAAAGGATTCAGCACGATTGACCATATCCACATGATAACCAAGCTCATTGAGGTTTCTCAGGAGTTCAAGATGCTGCTCTGTCTAACGTTCATTGATTTAAAGAAGGGCTTTGATTCTGTTGCGACTGAAGCGGTCATCAAAGCCCTAGGCAATCAGGGCATTCAAACTCAATACATCAGGATCCTCCGTGAGCTGTATTATGGATTCACTACTAGGACCTCACCATTCTACAAAGAAATGATCATCGATGTCAAGAGAGGGGTTCGGCAGGGTGATACCATTTCACCGAAACTCTTCAGTGCCACCCTCAAGAATATCATGTGACGACTGGAATGGGAAGGAATGGGAGTGAAGATAGATGGTCGGCAAGTACACCACCACTGATGACATTGTTCTAATAACACCAAACATTAGCCAAGCAGCACAAATGGTGACCGACTTCGACCATGAGTGTGGAAAGGTCAGACTACAGCTGAATCTCACGAAGACAATGTTTATGACAAACAGCCTTGTTCCTGACACTCCACTCACTCTCAACGGAACAACCATCTCCGAATGCAACAGTTATATGTACCTAGGTCGAGAAGTCAACATGACAAATGACCTGGTACCTGAGTTGTGCAGCAAGAAGACAGCGGTTTGGAACGCCTTCAAGAGTGTCGAAGAAATAGCTAAGAGGATGAAGAACCTCTGGCTCCGGGAACATCTCTTGGATTCCACTGTTCTTCCTGCATAAACATATGCCTCAGAGACCTGGGCCCTACGAAAACAGGATGAGAACTCTATTCGGGTCTCCCAAAGAGGAATCAGAGTATCATACTTCACTCAAGTGAGAGAAAGAGTTCGGAGTTCCGAACTCCGTCGGTGAATCAGGGATGCCGTCTCATTTGCCAAGACGTCGAAAATCAGATGGGCTGGACATGTAATGAGATTTGGAGATGACTGCTGGACTAGAGCAGTTACCGACTGGATTCCACGGGACATCAAAAGACCGTGTGGACACCCATCTACCAGATGGTCAGACTTCTTCATCAAGACCCTAAACAATTGGTTTGAGGCTCTTTGTATTCCTAAAATGAACAGACACCATTGGGCTACACTAGCACATGACAGGGATGAATGGAGACGTTACTGGCACCCCTTTGAGCAAATCGATGATTAACGGGAAGTCAAGTGATCAAGTGAACAAGATTGTAGGATATCAGGTTGATGTGTACAATTCAGAGGCTAAAGTAAACCCTGCTGGGTACGGCCTCATCCACCTGCCAACCAATTCTAGACAGTGGCCCTTCCCAAAATTAATCAAATATCTAAATGTGAAATGCAAAACTAGAAAAAATCTGTCAGCAATGGCTCACTCCCACTCTGTGCTCAGGCACCAGGCCTGGAGGGGCTCAGGGGACCACATTTGCTGCTGGGGATCGAACTAAGCTTGACCAGTGCAGGGCAAGTGCCTTCACCCCTATCCTATCTCTTCTGCGCCTGGCCAATTTGCTTGTTGTTGTTGTATACACATTATGCTCACTCCCACCTCAACTTGGGATGTGAAATTCCTTTATTTTTCTGGAGGTGTGAGGGGGCAGCAAGACCATCGGTGCTCAGGGGATATTTCTGGCTCAGGGGATACTTTTGGATAAATGAGATTGGCAGCATGCAAAGCAGTTATCTCCTATACTATTTCTCCAGCCATGTAATTCCTTTATTTTACTTTATGGGGTATGCTAAATTCTCTCCTCCTCCCTAGAAAAGACCTCTCCTTTCTCTCTCTCTCTCTGTCTCTCTCTGTCCCTCTGTCATTCTGTCTCTCTCTCTCTCTCTCTCTCTCTCTCTCTTTCTCCCTCCTCACTATTTTACTTTGTTTTGAGAGAGGGTATGGCTCTCTCCAAATTATAAGTCTCCACAGATAATATAGACAAAAATCTGTGTGATTCTCAAGGCTGCTCTCCACATGCTTGGGCCAAGCCTCACCCACAAGTGAATCCCCAGAAAATGCAGATATGCGGAACTTTGTGACGGAGAACTCTGGGTCCATTGGGACCGGGAACAAAGATCCCCTGTCCATATCCTCCTGACTCCTGTGACTTCTGCAGTGGTTTATGCAGTCACACCCATAAGTCACCCCTGGCTGGCACCAGATAATCTTGTCATTGGCCACAATCCAGATTGCATGTCCTTCTCTCCTAGAAGGGAGCATAACACTACGCTCACCATAACCATGCCACCAGACTCCTTGCCAGGCTGTTTCACTTGGGGCGTCCCTGAAGGGAGTGGGTGAGATCCCTCCCCATCCCAAGGGACCCAGCCCGGGCAGCCAAAAACCTACAGAGCTCAACTGCCACTGTGCTCACAGCTGTGCCACATGCTCGGGCCAAGCCTCACCCACAAGTAAACCTATTTCTGGACACTTCATACATCACACCATCCATACTCCAAGAGTACCCCACCACATTTAATGGGGCTCGAAGTAGTAGGCAACCAATCTTCACTATCACTATTACTATCACCCCATTGTTCTTCAATTTGCTCGAGTGGGCCTAGTAACATCTCCGTTCGTCCCTGTCACATACAAGTGTAGCCCGATGACATATTGGGGGCTCTTTCAGGGTCAGGGGAATGAGGACCATTCATTGTTATTGCTTTTGACTTATCGAGTACGCCACGGGTAGCTTGTCAGGCAACCAATCTTAGAGGGGAAATATATATACACATCTGTATATATATATATATTGTTTTTACAGATATATATATATATATATATAAAAGTACACAAGGCTCAACCTTTAACAACATATTAGAGATCACCTATAGAAGGTCTTAATGGCCCCTGTTGAAATAGAACAATATTCACACTCTTTCCTCTAAGGATACTTTTTTGTAGCACTTTCAGTGGTTTTTCATAACAAACAATATGAAATATATTATTACGGCTCTGTTTTGGGGCAGGGATTGGGGTTCAGAATGGAAACATCCGAAATACGGTGATAGGAAGGTGTTGTGGTGGGATTGGTGTTTGAATATTAAATGTAATCAAATATTGTGAACTACCTTATAAAATAAAAGAATTTAAAAATCTGTGTGAATTTGGGTATGGCAAAGCATTGAGATACATTATGAAAAGTCATCTGTGAAAGAAAAATGCAAACTTATACTCTGCCGAGGACACTGGCAAGAGGGCCTGGAGAGACAGTACAGCAGGTAGGGTGCTTGCCTTGCAATTGGCCGGAACTGGCTCCATCTCTAACCAACCCTATATGGTCCCCACAAAGGAGCAAACTCTGGATACAACTGTGTGTACTACCCCTTCAAAAAAAAACCCAAGTAAACTAAAAAAGAACACTGGCAAGAGAATGGAAAGACACACCCCAGACTGGGAGAAAAATATTTGCAAAGACATTTCTGATAAAGACATTTCTGTTAACCAAAATGTACAAAGAATTCTTGAACCTCAAAAAACTACAAAATAAAAATCACGTGGGACCAGAGAGATAATAGAGTGGGTAGGGTGCTGGCCTTGTATGCGACAGACGTAGATTCAATCCCCAGAAATATGGTCCCCTGAGCACACCAGGAGTAATTCCTGAGAGCACTGCCAGGTACAGCCAAAAAAACCCAAACACACACACACACACACACACACACACACACAACAATAACAACAACAGCAACAACACCTAATTGAAAAATAGACCAAAAAAAATCAAAACAATGAGATATTACTACACGTCTGTGAGAGACCTGTGAGAGAATAGATATTACACAAAAGACAAAAAACAATTGACAAATGTTGGGCAAGAGCGATAGTATAGCAGGTAGAGCATTTGCTTTGCACATAGCAGACCCAGGTTCAATCCCCAGCACCCCATGTGATTCCCTGAACCTCGCCAAAAGTGATCCCTGAGCACAGAGCCAGAAGTAAACCCTGCGCACAGCCACGTGTGCCCCATCCAGAAATAAAACAAAACAAGAACCCACCCTTCCGTGAGGTGCACCCTGAACTCATGGAGACTAAAGTGGGAATTTCTTCTCTACCTCCCCCCAGATGCCCTAACGGGCTTCTGGTGGGACATTCATACCAGAATCTATGGGAATGGGGGCGGGGTCCTTGAAGGTTCCTTATTCATTTGGGGGTCCCAGTACCTTTGAACCTTATGTAGGTAATAACCAACCCTCAGAAACATTTGTGGAATGAAATGTTAAATGAATAACTTAAATAGGGAGTTTCCTTCTAAGAATTTTTTTTTCTTTTTGGGTCACACCTGGCAGGGCACAGGGGTTACTCCTGGCTCAGCGCTCAGGAATCACTCCTGGTAGTGCTCAGGGGACCATGTGGGTTTCTGGGAATCAAACCCAGGTTGGCTATGTGCAGGACAAATGCCATACCCACTGTGCTATCACTCCAGCCCCAGTAGGGAGTTTCCTGATAATGACAGGCACTTGCAGCATATATTACTGAACATGCTGTTGGTGCCAGCACATCCCACCAGGGCTGAGCACAAATCACAGCCCCTGCGTCAGCCAGAAAGAGCCTCCCTTGAAAGCACCTCTGACACGAGCACCTTTTATTGTAGCTTACTCAAAATCTATGAGTTGATGACTAATGATATCCAAAGTCCAAGATAAGTGCCCAGGTAATCAATATAGAAGGCTGAGCTTGCTTTCTGAGTTCCTTGACATTATTTCAAGGGGCTTCTTACCTTTTGTTGGGGCTCCCATATCCATACTGGTTCAGCCCAAAGAGTATCAGCATAGGTACCAAGGCCTGAGCAGGTTTGGTAAACAAAGCGTTTAGGCCAAAGACCACTGAAGAAAGGGGTGACCTGCAACAGAAAAAGACAGAGTGCATCTGTATCCACATGCATACATGAAGGTGTTCATGTGCAAACACGTATGTGAGGATCTTTTTTGTCTCTGAAGTCCACCTTGACCCTAACTAGACAATGATACAGAGCACAGCAGTTCCAGGGCTCACCTGACTTTGTCACAAGAGAGTTACTGAACCACAAGGAGCCTCCTCACATATGATATCCCCAAAGGAGTAAGCCCTGAGCACAGCTGGGTTGGCCGGAAAACAAAATAAATAAATAAGAAAAAAAAAGGTAAGAGGATGGAAAGATAGTTTTCTAATATCTCTGTTGTGTGTGAAATAAAAGGTTTTTATTTACAACATGGGAGACGTGGGGGGAGTCAGAGACAGAGACAAAGACAGAGAGATAGAAAGCGATACACACAGAGAGGAAGGTACCCCGGAGAGAAAAAGAACGTAGTCCTGTTTGGAACTATTCAAATGCTCAGTAAGAGGGGGTTGGAGAGATAGCATAGCCAGTAGAGCGTTTGCCTTCACGCAACCAACCCGGGTTCAATTCCCAGCATCCCATGTGGTCCCCTGAGCACCACCACGAGTAACTCCTGAGTGCAGAGCCAGGAGTAAGCCCCTGTGCATCTCCAGGTGTGAACCAAAAAGAAAAAAAAATGCTCAGTAAGGGAGTGATCTGGGGCTGGAGCGATAGCACAGCTGGTAGGGCATTTGCCTTGCACACGGCCGACCCGGGTTCAATTCCCAGCATCCCATATGGTCCCCCGAGCACCGCTAGGAGTGATTCCTGAGTGCATGAGCCAGGAGTAACCCCTGTGTATCGCTGGTGTGACCCCCAAAAAGAGAGAGTGATCTTTGGCTGCACTGTACCTAAACCCCACCGCAGCCCCATGAGGAAGGTTCTAGCACTCTTGCCTTAGAAGACGGGAGAGCAGAGGGACTGGCCCACACTCACATGGCCCCAAAGGAGCAGAACTAGGATTCACCTCTAAGTCCCTCTGTCCAAATTTCTCTAAGGATTCATTTCACGTGTTTCTAGGAAGAATCCTGCCATATCTTTTCTTATTTGAAACAGTGAGTTCATAGAAGATGAATCAAGTGACTTGACCCAATAAACTAAGATCTTGCATTTCAACAAACAAGAGACATTTTACACTAAGAGGAGAAGAAAGGGAAGGCAGAGAAGAAAAGAGGGGGAGGGGGGGGAGAAATGAAAGAGAAAGAGATGAGGCAAGGTCTTTGGATGATGGTCAGCGCTCAGGTTTCATTCCCTGGACTTCCATCTACCAGCTGCGTTCTCTTGGAGAAAGTTAACCCCCCAAGAGTTTTATGTTTCCTGAGAGTGGGGATAATCACAATTATAGGATGATATAATAGTGTAATGGCGGCCTGCCCACCACTAGACTCTCAGTGTTCTGAGAGGCAGAACCACCCCAGGCTTTGCTCAGTGTCTTAAGTTATCTGATATAATCGAAGCAAAAGACACCCATTTTCAGAAAAGGAGATATTAACCACTCTGCTCTACATTTATCATTTGTGTGTGTCTGTGTCTATGTGCGTCTGTGAGTGTGTGTGTCTGTGTGGATGTCTGTGATTGTGTGTGTGTCTGTGTTTCTGTGTGTGTCTGTGTCTATGTGTGTCAGAGTGTGTGTGTGTCTGAGTGTATGTCTGTGATTGTGTCTGTGTGTGTGTCTGTGTGGATGTCAGTGATTGTGTGTATGTGTCTGTGTTTGTGTGTGTCTGTGTCTATGTGTGTCTGTGAGTGTGTGTGTGTCTGAGTGTATGTCTGTGATTGTGTCTGTGAGTGTGTTTGTGTGTGTCTGTGTCTATGTGTGTCTGTGTGTGTGTCTGTGTGTATGTCTGTGATTTTGTGTGTGTATGTGTGTGTGTGTGTGTGTTTTGGGGCAGGGACATGCCAGGGATCAAACCCAAGGCTTTAGATATGCAAAGTCCTACCAACCACTCTTCCCTTGGTTTTTATCTGATAAATACTATGACATCTTTTGTTTCCTTTTGTTTGTTTATTTGTTTGGGGGTCACACCTAGATGTACTCAGGGCTTGTGGGGTGCTGGGGATTGAACCTGAGTTAGCCATGTGTAAGGTAAGCACCCTGCCCACAGTACTATGGCTTCGGCCCATGCTGTGCCATCTTTTTCGTTTTGTTGTTGTTGTTGTTGTTGTTGTTGTTAGAACCAATTCAGTTAAATGCAAATTTTTTGTTGTTGTTGTTGTTGTTGTTTTTGGATAAAATGCTTTACAAATACCCAAAACAAGCAATAAATAAATAAATAAATAAATAATCAACCACTTCATAGATCAAAAGTAAAAAAAGGAAAAGGGCAATGGTCTTTTTAACTATCTTATATAAACCAGTCGGTTTGAAGTACATATACAAGAAAATGAAGCTGCAATGTTCAAAATTAGATTTGTTGTTGTAGCTCATTTTGCTCTTTGAAAGTTTTCTCTTACTGAAAACTAAAAAAGTTTTTCTTTTTTCATTCGGTATTCTAATGAACAAGATTACACTACAATGAAGTCAAAAGTGGGCAAGAGGATTTTCCAAACACTCTTCTGCCTATTTGAAGTGGCTAACCAGCACAGACGAGAATATAAAATGTAAATTACAAACACAAATTTTCTCCTTCAGTGTACTTCCAAGAAGAAAAGAAAGAAAGAAAAACCACAGCCTTAGAAGTTTGGATTCTTCTTTTCTCCCCCAGACAAATCCACATTGCGGTTATAAGCGTCACAATACCTACAACCTGCTATCAGGAGAATCTGACGCCGTTTGCAAGGAATTCTGAGTTCGAGTTACCTTTCAGTTTTCTTGACTTTTCCCAAAACCAGATGTGATTTGATGGGAATATTTTCCTTTTTGAATTCTCTTTTGTTTTTCTTTACAAATTATTTCTGTCATATCTTCCCAAAGTAGTTAACTTTGTTTTCCTAGAAATGACTTTCATTCTACACGTTCTTTTCCTAGGTTTACAAGATAGATTGAACCTTCTGAGCAGAACCAGAGTATCTGGCAAGGAACAGAAGCAAAGCCAGCTGTGGGCTCTGGGTAATAGAGAACAGGAGCGAACAGCGTGGGTCCCACACAGAGACATTGTGATCTAAAAGCTGAGAGAGATTCGTGGCTGTCTCCCCAGCATCTGCCATGGTGCCCAACACAGTGGAGGCGATTAAGCCACGTTTATTGGGTCAATAAGAGCTGCCCCAGAAGACTGGCAAGGGCTTGAGTGAGGAAAGGCTACGCGGTGCTTGCACACGTCGGCATTGAGTCACTGGAGCTCCCTTTCCTCCCTTTATTTGTAACCAGTCTCGTTCAAAAACAATTTAAGAGTTGTCGGGGATTTTGCTGCAGTTATTACTCGTTAGATTACTTGTGTTTTTAAAAGTTATTTTTATGAGCTGGAGAGATGGTACAGCAGGTTAAGACACTTGCCTCACACAACTAACCTAGGTTTGATCACCGACACCACATATGGTGCCCTGAGCACTGTCAGGAGTTACCCTTGAGTACAGAGCCAGGAGTAAACCCTGAGCACTGCCTGGGGAAGAAAGGAAAGAAGGGGGAGAAGGGAAGAAGGGAGGGAGGAAGGAAGGAAGGAAGGAAGGGAGGGAGGGAGGGAGGGAGGGAGGGAAGGAAAAAAGGAAGGAGAGAAGGAAGAAAGGAGAGAAGGAAGGACGGAAGAAAGGAAGGAAGGAGGAAGGGAGGGAGGGAGGGAAGGAAGGAAGGAAGGAAGGAAGGAAGGAAGGAAGGAAGGAGAGAAGGAAGGAGAGAAGGAAGGAAAGAGAATGAAGGAAGGAAGGAGAGAAGGAAAGAGGGAAGGAAGGCAGGAAGGCAGGAAGGCAGGAAGGAAGGAAGGAAGGAAGGAAGGAAGGCAGGAAGGCAGGAAAGAAGGAAGGGAGGGAAGGAAGGAGGGAAGGATAGAAGGAAGGAAGGAAGGAAGGAAGGAAGGAAGGGAGGGAGGGAGGGAGGGAAGGAGAGAAGGAGGGAAGGAAGGAGAGAAGGAAGGAGAGAAGGAAGGAGGGCGGGGAGGGAAGGAAGGAGGGAGAGAGGGAGGGAGGGAGGGAGGGAGGGAGGGGAAAAGTAAAAGTTATTTGAGAAACTATGAAGATGGTTCAAGGGTTGGAGCACAGACTTTGCATGCTGATGCCCAGGTTTAATATCTGGCATTAGTGATCCCCTCCCCAGCAGCACCTGGTGTGGCTTCACAATCACAAAATCACAAATCATCCTGTTAGTCGTCGATTGCCTCGAGCAGGCCCCAGTAACGTCTCCTTCATCCTAGCCCTGAGATTATATTCAAGGCTCTTCAGGAGAATGAGACCCATCATTGTTACTGGTATTTGGCATATTGGGTACGCCACGGAGAGTTTGCCAGACTCTGCCGTGTGGGCAAGCTACATTTGGTAGCCTGTCAGTTTGTCCAAAGTAGGAATGAGATAATAAGATGTTATAATAAAATGTTGCGCGGCCGCAAATGCGGCCGCGTGCTTCCGAGATCTGGTTTTTATAGTCTCTGTGTCTTGGCCGCTGATGGGATTACACAGCGCCAGGGGGCCAGTTGGTGGGTGTGACCCCCGCCTATTGGAATTTGGAGGATCTGGGTGGAGGATGCTCGGCCCAAATCCCGGTAGGCTTGGATATCTTGGCCCCGGAACCCGCGTGACTTTGTCCCTCTGCCAGTACCTTCACGTGTGCGGAGAGTGGTCTCAGCATGGTGGTGGCTGGTCCTACCCAGATTTGGGCCGAGCATCCTCCACCCAGATCCTCCAAATTCCAGTAGGCGGGGGTCACACCCACCAACTGGCCCCCTGGCGCCGTGTAATCCCATCAGCGGCCAAGACTCAGAGACTATAAAAACCAGATCTCGGAAGAGAAGAGTGCAGTCTTCTGCCCCCGCGCCTGACTGTCCTCGCTCGCCGAGACCCCTTGGAGGGGAGCGGGTTGAGCTTTCCTCCCCGCCCCGACCAGGGCTCCGGCAGCCAAAGACCTCCAGGACCAGCCACCACCATGGTGTGGCTTAAACACCAAAAAAAAAAAAAAAAAAAAAGAGTAAAGAAGTTTGATTTGAGAGCCAAGGAATTAAACGTGCTGGAGCACACACTGTACACACAAGAGTCTGGGGTCTGATCCCCAGCACCACATGGTTCTCTGAGCCTCAAAGTGAAACCAAACCCCAAAGCCTCTCCCTAAACAGTGATTTTTGAGCCAGTCACCTCTTGAGTCACTCAGAATAGGGTATTGAACTGACTTGCTCAAAATTTCAAACACAAATTAGCCACAAAACCCTGAAACAGGACAGATATTATAGAAAAAACTCAAGCAATGCTTGAGTTATTTGGCAATGCTGTTCTCCAGTTAAAAAAAAAAAAAGACAAAGAGCAAGGCCATGGCATCAAGATGTTTTTATAGACTACAGAGGTGGTAAGTTTAAGAACCTGTCTGTCCTGAGATCTCCAAGCTCACTTGGAACAGGACCAGGCCCTCCCTGCAACTTCTGTTTTCCAGTAGCTTGGCAGTCATGCCTGCAAACCATATAATCTCATCAACGGCCAAGATCCAGGGACTATGAAATAAAGCTCCTGGAAGAGAATGACACAGAACGTCCTGGGTGCAGGGCCACATTTGTGGCTGCACAACCTCTTATACTCTAGCCCAGTGATGTACCAAAAGCAGCACACATTTGTTTGGGTTTAACATATATGTTTGTAATCTCTAATACAAGAGCTTACATGGCTCCAGGATGAAATACAACAACCTTCACAACTTTTATGGTGATGGGAAGGTGCACTGTGGTGGGATTAGTGTTGGAATATTATCTGTAATGAACTATTGTGAACAACTATAAAAATTAAATTAAATTTGAAAAAAAAAAGTATTTGTCTGTCTTCATGTTCCAGGGGTTGCAGCGATAGTACAGCAGGTGGGGCATTTGCCTTGCATGTGGCCAACCTGGGTTTGATCCTGGCATCCCATAAGGTCCCCTGAGCACTACTAGGAGTAATCCTGAGTGCAGAACCAGGAGTTACCCATGAGCATCACAGTAGGTGACCCAAAAAAACAGAAAAAAAAGCCCACACATAACATGTTCCTCTCTAATCCATACACAGTGAAAAATATCTGCGATCAAGTGAATTTTATCACCGTTCCAAAGAACAAAACTACTCATAATCCATGCCTATGTCTTCAAGGAAAAAAGCACTAAGACGGACCTTGACTCCTCATTTTCATTTCTTGCCATGTCACAGAGCAAAGGTCATGCTGCCTTATCGGTTGTGTGTTCGAGTTTGTGGAACATAAAGCTGAGATTTTACTTTGGTTTTGGAGGCTTGGTCCTTGGGTTGCATCAGCTTTGTGAAGCCCAGAGATGCCCATTCAGAAGCCAGGGAAAGTTACTCAGACAAACAATTCAAGATATCCTACTATTGTCTGTCCTCTAATTCCCAATGACGTCTTGAATGGTTTTCTTTAAGGTGATTTGTAGTGGCAATAGAACTGAGGTGTGGAGACTTGACTAGCTCCCGCCCATAGAGATATTTCATAGCTGGTGCATGAACAGACTTACTGCCGACTAAACTTCAGCATGTCCGCATCAACCATGTCAGCGAGTGGCAGGTAGAACAAGCAAGAAGCAGCCTGCACAGTCACCCTAGAAACAATTTTAAAACACACATATGAAAATTTTATATACCTGGGAGTCACAGAATTTGTTTAGAACAAACATCAAATGAAAGTTGTATGGGCTTGTAAAAAAGAAAAGAATATACTGTAAAAGCCAAGAACAGAAATGTACACTCTTCTGTTCCCTGAAACACCATATACTTATGAATACAAGGTATAAAGAAAATAGTATGTTATAAAAGCAAATAGAATTACACACAGTTCTGTTCTTCTAAATACAGATTTATGAATATATATAATTATTTTAAAAATGAAATAACTCGGCCAGAGAGCTCAACAGGCTGAGTGCACACACTTAGCATGCCGGAGGTCTAGGTGCCCCATATGGTCAATGCCATCTGGTCCCCCAGCACTGGTGGGAGGGACCCCCCAGCACAGAAAAAACCCAAAAGAGAAATAACACATTTTTCTTGGGATTTTGTTTTGGGGACACACCCGGCAGTGCTCAGGGGTTCCTCCTACCTCTGCACTCAGGAAACCCTCCTGATGGGCTTAGGGGACTACAAGTGATGCCAGGGATGGATCCCAGGTCAGCTACATGCAAGGCAAGGACCTTCCCCACTGTCTTATCTCTCCGGCTCTTTCCGGATTTTTAAGAATCCTCTTAGGATTTTTAAAAGCAATTTTGTTCTCATTTCCAAATGACTACTTATTCACTTGATCTACTTAAATTATGAATAGATCTGAAAGAACAAAGCATGTTAGGGGAATCCATCATTTTTTTCTCTTGCTCTAAGAACAGGATAAATTAAGACCTATAAAAAGCCATCTAACATTTCAATTAAGAGAAGAGATGAAAATGGGGAAAGACTCCAGTAAAAAAATTTTTTTTTTCATTCTTAAAATAAATGTAAATGTTTGAAGGGAAGGTCAAAGGGCTGAACACAGGCTCCGCGGTTCAATCCTTGGCACCACATGCCCCCTTATTCAGTACTGCTGGGAGAGAACCCCGCCCCTTCCAACCACCAGGCTAGAAATGACCCCCAAGTGTCATGGGTATAATCTAAAAATAAGCAAACAAAAATCAATATTATAGAGACATTTAATTTTTTTTAATTTTTTCTCTTTTTTTGGATTTGGGAGCCACACCCATCAATGCTCAGAGGTTACTCCTGGCTCTGCACTCAGGAATATTTCCTGGTGGTGATAGGGGACCATATGAAATGTTGGAGATCAAACCTGGATTGGCCACGTACAAGGCAAGCGCTTTCCCTGCTGGACTCTCTCCAGCCCCTAAAAAGACATTTACCACTTTACCACTTTACTCATATTCTAAAAGCAATGGGAAGGGCTGGAAGGGCACAGGATGTAGTGAGCCCAATAATAATAATAATAATAATAATATATTTAAAAATAAATGCATTGGAAAGCCTCTTGAGATTATTAAAGAGGACCGGAAAGATAATACTGGATTTAAGTCTTTTCCTTGCCTGCAGCTGACCCTGTTCAATCTCCTGCACTGAGTACAGTCTGCTGAGTTCCGCCAGGGAAGATCCCTGGACCAGAAACATAAATAAGCCCTGAGCACTGCCCAGTGTGGCCCCGGCACCGTCACTGTCCTCCCATTGTTCATCGATTTGCTCGAGCGGGCCCAGTAACATTGTGAGACTTGTTACTGTGTTTGGCATATCGAATACATCACGGGTAGCTTGCCGGGCTCTCCGAGAGGGGTAGAGGAATCAAACTCGGGTCGCCCCAGTTGGCTGTGTGCAAGGCAAACGCCCTACCCACTGTGCTATCGCTTCAGCCCTAACAAAACAAAATATTAATAAGCAGAGCAATAGAAATTTAGTACAAGGGGATGAGAGCACACACATGGCATGCCTCCAGGTTGGACCCGAGTTCAGTCCCTGGCGCATGTATTGCAGAGTGTAGCCCAGGGATACTCCCCATCATCCCCACCACCACCACCAGGCACTGCTGGGCTGGTTCTCGAAGATTCCAGCAGCTCAGGACCAGAGCTCAGCACAGCTGCCTCCAGCCCTCGCATGGAACTTGGTCAACTAAAGCCAGGAATGGGCTCCGGATTTCCCAAGCACCGCTCGGCCTCCTCCCAAAAAGATCATTAAGAGAAAAATTCGGTAGCAGAGCGCATACCTGCAAAGCCTCAACTCAGTCTCTAGCACTGCAGGTTATTAAGCCAGACAAGGGCATGTTCTAGCAGCAGTATGGAAAATAGGGTCAGAGAGCTAGGACTGAATGCGGGAGAACACGTAAATGGCTGCCCAACAATTTCATAAAAGATCTGATCAGAGGAGCCCAAGATGCTTGCCTTGGACAGAGCCAACCCAGACTCAAACCCCAGCACCTTGTACTGAGCGCTGCCAGGAGTGATCCTTGAGTACAGCTAAGTGTGCAAAAAAAGGAAAAAAAATCACATGAGAACTTGTAAAGGAATGGTAGTGGCAAGAGAAAAGAGATTAATTCAGGACACATTAGGGAGGTGAGACTGTTATTAATTGGTGGCTGACTAGACTAAGAGACAATGAAGAATGTGTTATGTGCCTCAAGGGTCAAGCTGGGATTGGGAAGAAAACTGGGGATATTGGTGGAGGGAAGGTCACAATTTGGTTGTGTTGGAATTCAAAGTGCTTGAAACAACTGGATAATGAACAATTTTGCAAATCATGGTATTTTTAATAGTAATAAGTGGAGCGATAGCACAGCGGTAGGGCGTTTGCCTTGCACGCAGCCAACATGGCCGACCCGAGTTCGATTCCTCCGCCCCTCTCGGAGATCCCGGCAAGCTACGAGAGTATCTCGCCCGCACGGCAGAGCCTGGCAAGCTCCCCGTGACGTATTCGATATGCCAGACACAGTAACAACAAAGTCTCCAATGGAGACGTTACTGGGCCCGCTCGAGCAAATCGATGAACAACGGGAGGGCCTTTACTTTACTTTAATAATAATAATAATAATAAAAGATAAATACAGTCATTTTCCCAGCTGGCAAACAAAGGCAGTCAACACCTAGGTGGCAGCTGTCATGAAATGGTGCGTTTTGATAAGATAAAAACAAGCAACTTTACGACAGAGTCTAATGGATAAAAGTCCTTCAAAAAAGCTGCAGTGACCATTCAGCTTGGCACAAAAGTGCGCTTGCTGTGCCGAGACATGATGATCAAGGATGCTTCATAGCTTGAAAGAGTGAATGGTGAGCCATTTGGGAGCATAGGTCTGGCTTAGTACAGGCATTTACTTACATGATAATCATGAGATAGAGAGTCAAAAAGTAATAGTATTGCTGTCCAAGCAATAACATGACAATGGAGGCTGTGCCTTCTAGGTAGAAAGAAATTAAGATGATTTTGTAATAGCCATATTTCTTCAGCCAGGATTGACTAATGAGTGTAAGACACTGAAAGAGAAACAGATTGACATTGCATGAAGATGAGATCCTGTGAATTTTGCTGATGACAAAAGAAATATCCTCAGCAAAAAACTAATTTGCTTTATAAACTGAATTAGAATGTCAATTGAAATACACAAAACCATCTACCAATGTTGGAAACTTAATTATCTGTATGCTTCCACAAAAATCAGTGAAGAATAATAATAGTCTAAATTAGCCAAAAAAAAAATCCTATTATTTCCTATTAATTAAATAAGCCAGGAAATTACTACATTTTAATTCTCACAGTAACATAAGGAGATTTCACCAAAACCAACTATATGAAAGAATCTATCACTTAAAAACAAACTGTAGGGGCCAAAGAGATAGTACAAGAGTACAGCAGGTAGAGCACTTGCCTTGCATTGTAGACCATCGAACCCAGGTTCAATCCCCAGCACCCCATAGGCCCCTGGAGCCTGCCAGGAGTGATCCTTGAGCACAGAGCCAGAAGCAAGCCCTGAGCTTGGCAGGGTGTGGCTCAAAAACTAGAGACAGACAGTCAGACAGTCAGACGGGCCTGTAGAAACAGATTGTGCTTAAAAACATTCCCTGTCACTGTTACTGTCACTGTCCTCCCGTTGTTCATTGATTTGCTCGAGCGGGCCCAGTAACGTCTCCATTGTGACACTTGTTACTGTGTTTGGCATACCGAATACATCACAGGTAGCTTGCCAGGCTTTGCCATGTGGGCGAGATACTTTCGGTAGCTTGCCAGACTCTCCGAAAGGGGGAGAGGAATCGAACCTGGGTCAGCCAGATCAGCCACTATGCTGTTGCTCCAACCCAAAATATTGTTTTTGCTTTTATTGGGGGGAAGGAGACAGGAAAATTTTGGGGCTATGAGCTCTAAACTACAACCCCTATGTTATCTCCTGGCCCCTGAAATGCATTTTTTAAATTAAAATTAAGCACCACACACAGATAATAACAGTTTAAGATTCTGTTTCTTTTGGTTGTGTTTTGTCCCTACCCTTACATATTTTCATAATTCTGATAGATTTGCATTGAGAGCTAAGATACTATTCTTCTATATTTCTTCTTATCAATTAAAACAACTATTGTTCTAAACTGAAAATCTTGTGTTAAATATCCATATGTACATTAAAAAAAGATTAGAAGACCCTTTGTTTTCCCTTAAAAAGTACATTGTTTAGCCCTGCAATTTTCACTAACTCAATGCAAGTACCGTTACAATTAGAAGAGAATTTTTAATGATGTGTGTGGAATACAAAAATGCTCTTTGATAAATATAAGGAAGGGTTCTCCCCACCCGAAACATTTCTTGGCTTCCTACTTTCAAGGAACAAGAGCTCATTTTCTGGACACTTAAAAACAATGGCTCTGTGATTGATGTGACCCAAAGCATTTCTTAAGCGTTCTGAAAGAGAAAGCATGTGGAACACTCAGGAAGTCCCACTCCAGGCCAACATAAAATGATAACATTGTCCAACCACGCATTTCCACATATCGAGGTGAAGCTCCTTCTTTGCATTATTTTATACATCAAAATACAACAAATTAGAGGCCAGATAGATAATACAGCAGGTAGGACGCTTGCCTTGCACGCGACTAACCCAGTTTCAATCCCCGCACCAGATAGGGTTCCCAGAGCCCCTCTAGAAGTGATCCCTGAGCACGGAGCCAGGAGGTGCACTGAGCACCCCCCAATGGGGCCCCCAAATAAAAACAAAAATAAAATAACAAGAAATTAAAGAGAGGCTGGGTGATAGCACAGTGGGTAGGGTGCTGCCTTGCATGCGGCCGATGCAGGTTCAGTTCCCAGCATCCCATATAGTCTCCTGAGCACTGTCAGGAGTAATTCCTGGGTGCGTGAGCCAGGAGTGACTCCTGTGCATCACTGAGTGTGACCCAAAAAGTAATAATAATAATAATAATAATTGTACGTTATGGGGGTGGGGTTGTTCGGGCCTCACCTGGCAGTGCTCAGGACTGATTCCTGGCTCTGTACTCTAGGATCACTCCTGGCAGGCTTGGGGGACCGTAGAGGGTGCCAAGGAATTGAATTCCGATCATGATATGTATGGAAAGCGCCCTAACACTGTACATTGCTCTGGCTCCTGGTATTATTTTGTCCAATACCTTAAAAGCTATAAAATGATCGATAGCACAGTGGTAGGGCGTTTGCCTTGCACACAGCCAACATGGCCGACCCGAGTTCGATTCCTCCGCCCCTCTCGGAGAGCCCGGCAAGCTACCGGGAGTATCTCGCCCGCACGGTAGAGCCTGGCAAGCTCCCCGTGACGTATTCGATATGCCAGACACAGTAACAACAAAGTCTCCAATGGAGACGTTACTGGGCCCGCTCGAGCAAATCGATGATCAACGGGAGGGCCTTTACTTACCAGAAATCACATAAGAAAGACTTTTCTTTTGCTAAAATCAAACTCTGCCGGCTGACGGTTTGGCTCTCCAGTCATATCTGCTGAGGAGTATGTGAATACTGTGCTCTCCTCAGTGTCGGCAAACTTATGCCAAAAGAGCCCAAACGGAAACAGATAAAGGCAGTGCCAAGCTCTCAGCAAAGGAATAATAAACACTTGCTGTGTGAGTCTTAATAAGAAGAGCTGACATTTCTAGTGTTTATTTTGTGCCAGGAACTGTTATACTGGACTTCGTATGTTTTCACTCACTTCATTCTCATAATAGCTCCATCTGTTTTGATCTTCATTCTTCAGAGGAGGAAACTGAGACACCAAGAGGTTGAGGAACTTCCCCTAAAGTCACACAGCTAGTAAGTGGGGGAGTCACATTCCTGAGGTACTCCCAAGCCATGCTATTTTTTTTTCTCTATTTTCTAGGGCATTTGCCTTGCATGTAGCCAGCCCGGCCAAGCCGGGTTCGATTCCTCCGCCCCTCTCAGAGAGCCTGGCAAGCTACCGAGAGTATTCGATATGCCAGACACAGTAACAAGAAGTCTCACAATGGAGACGTTATTGGGCCCGCTCGAGCAAATCGATGAACAACGGGAGGACAGTGTTTGTTTGTTTGACAGTTTTTTGGGTCACACCCGATGAAGCTCAGGGATTACTTTTGGCTCAGCACTCAGGAATTACTCCTGGCAGCACTCGGGGAACTTATATAGGATCCCAGGAATCAAACCCAGGTCGGCTGCTTGCAAGGCAAGCGCCCTACCCACTGTACTATCTCTCAGGCCCCCAAGCCATGCTCTTCACCCGTATTCTATTCTGTCTATCTGAGGGGAACAGGATGTGGAAGAAGCATGGATCTAACAAAACAATTATTAGAGAGAAGAGCAACTTGTTTACTTTTTCTCCTTTCCTGAATCTGGTTCCTCAAAAAACTAGCCACTGAGGAAATGAAAATACAGTGCTCTTCTTTTAAAACTATACCCAATACCTCCAGGGTTTATTTAGCCAAATAAACACTTGTTGATTGTTTTTGGTTTTGTTTTTTGTTTGGGGGCCATACCGGCAGTGCTTAGACCTTATTCCTAGCTCTGTGCTCAGGGATTACTCCCTATGGGGCCCAGGGATCATATGGGGTACAGAGGATAGAACTTGGGTTGGTCACATGCCGAGAAAACACCCTGCCCACTGTACTATCTCTCTGGCCCCTGAACTGTCTTTTTTTTAACCCTACCAGTTTGGAGCAATAGCACAGTGGGTAGGGCGTTTGCTTTGCACGCAGCATACCTGGGTTCGATTCCTCCATCCCTCTCGGAGAGCCTGGCAAGCCCCCAAGAGCATCCCGCCCACATGGCAGAGCCTGGCAAGCTCCCCGTGGCATATTCGATATGCCAAAAACTATAACAAATCCCACAACGGAGACATTACTGGTGCCCGCTTGAGCAGATCGATGAACAATGGGAGGACAGTGCTACAGTGCTACCAGTTTATACAGATCATGTTTCTAGAAATTAAGAATAAATTTAGAGTAACTTTGGATTTTCATTTTCTGATGTTTCCTTAAACAAGTGAAATTCATACATTAGTATAAGGGTTGGGTTGGAGGATAGCACAGAGGGTAGTGCGTTTGCCTTGCACACGGCCAACCCGGGTTCAATTCCTCCATCCCTCTCGGAGAGCCCGGGAAGCTACCAAGAGTATCCCACCCGCATGGCAGAGCCTGGCAAGCTCCCTGTGGTATATTCAATATGCCAAAAACAGTAACAACAAGTTTCACAATGGAAACGTTACTGGTGCCCGCTCAGGCAAATCGATGAACAACAGGAGGACAATGCTACAGTGCTACAACGCTACAGCATAAGGGTTTAAAGAAAAGTATCATCGGGCCAGAGCATGTGACCGACCAGGGTTCAATCCCTGGCATCCCTTATGGTCCCCCGAACACTAGCTGGCATAATTCCTGAGTATCACTTCATATGGTCCAAAAAATAAAAACAAACAAAAAATTAAGAAAAGGGATTATTAGGGGCCAGAGGCCTTAATGGGCTGAAGCACATACTTTGCATGCAGGAGGCCAGGTTTGATCCGCAACACTCCTGAGTACAGTTGGGTGTGGCCCCACAAATGAAAAGGATTGGGGTAAGCTTTTAGCCATACTTCTCTTTTGGTTTTGTTTGTTGTTTGTGTTTGGGCCACTTCGGGGCTGGCTCCTGGCTCTTCCCTCAAGGATCACTCCTGGAGGCTCAGAAGATCCTCTGGAATTCAGGGATAGAACCCAGGGTCTGCCACCTGGTAAGCGAGTGCACTGCCCGCTATATCCACGTTTCAGCCCTAGCCATGCTTCTCTTAATACTTAATAGCCAAAGAGAGGGGCTGGAGTGATAGCACAGTGGGTAGGGCGTTTGCCTTGCACGCAGCCAACACGGCCGACCCGGGTTCGATTCCCAGCATCCCATATGGTCCCCCGAGCACTGCCAGGAGTAATTCCTCAGTGCATGAGCCAGGAGTAACCCCTGAGCATCGCCGGGTGTGACCCAAAAAGAAAAAAAAAAAGCCAAAGAGAGATTGGAAGTCACCCATCTAAAGTCCTCGAGATAAAAAAATAAAAAGATCCCTTATGGGGCCAGAGCAATAGTACAGCTGGTAGGGTATTTGCCTTGCATACGGCTGACCCGGGTTCGATCCCCGGCATCCCATATGGTCCCCCGAGCATCACCAGGAGTGATTCCTGAGTGCAGAGCTAGGAGTGACCCCTGAGCATTGCTAGGTGTGACTCCAAAACAACAATGATGATGAAAGTTTGTGGTCTCTGGCACAGTGCAAGTATGCTAGTGTGATCTGGTGAGCAGCTCAACTGAAGTGTGTGAGTACTATGGGGTCCAGCGAGCACTGCAACCAAACCGTGCTTGAGAACCACAACCAGAGAGCATAAGCCCAGCAAGCAATGCTATAAGAACTTTCAAGGAAGCCTGTTTGACTTCAGACTGTGATAGAGGTAAAAAGAATATAATTCAGGGAATAGAAAAGAATAGACAGGGAGAGGGTACAGCAGGTAGGCCAGTTGCCTTGCATACAGCTGACCCAGTTTTAATCCCCAGCACCCCAACTGGTCCCTCCAGTTCCTGAGCGCAGAGCCAGGAGTAAGCACTGTGCACTGCCGGGTGTTGCCCCAAAGACAAAAAACAAAGCAGCAAGCTGAAAAGGTATTTTTCCATATATAGGGGTAAATAGCATAGGAAAAGATGTTCAATATGATTAGCCATGAGGTTAAAGTACATCAAAACAACCATGAGGGCTAGAGTGACATTCTAGCAGATCAGGGGTTACTCTTGGCTCTGAACTCAGGAATTATTACTGGTAGTTCTCAGGGGACCATATGGGATGCCAGGGATCAAACCCCGGTCAGCTGCATGCAAGGAAAGTACCTTATCTGCTGTACTATCTATCTCTCTGGCCCCAGGAGATAATTTAAAATGGTACAATTGCTTTGGAAACTGATCTATCAGTATCTCAGAAGTGTGAAATAAAGTACCTCATGACAAAGCTTTCTCACTGATAGATATATATACCCAAAAGGAAGGAAAATTATACATCCTCATAAAAAACGTGTATGTTAGTATTCATGGCAGCATTATTAAGTCAAAAAGCAGAAATAATCTATACATTTAACAGTGGAAAAACAAAACGGTGTTATGTTCACTCAAAATAAAAGCATTTGACAAAAAAAAGGAATCAAGTGGGGGTTGGAGAAATAGTATAGAGGGTAGGGTGTTTGTTTTGAAAGTGGCCAACCCACGTTTGATTTCAGCACCTCATGTGGTCCTCTGAGCACCACCAGGAGTGATGCTCGCTGAGTAATTGCTGGGTGTTGTCCCAGACCAAAATAATTAATAATTAATTAAACATAAATTAAAATCTGGCCATAAAAAGTAAAGTAAATGAATAAAAATTTAAATAAACTCATCTATTCAACAAATTTTACACCTGACTTTGACAAATGTTTTCATCTTCACCTGAAAAAAGCATAAAGAACTTGGGCAAAGGCATGATTCAAAGTGAGACAATACAAAAAATTATATACATAATATATACATACATGTGGGGAGGGATAGTGCACAGAGACTCAAACAACAAACAAACACTGTCCTCCCATTGTCCATCGATTTCCTCAAGCGGGCCCAGTAACGTCTCCATTTTTTTGAGACTTGTTGTTACTGTGTTTGGCATATTGAATACGTCATGGGTAGCTTGCCAGGCTCTGCCGTGCAGGCAAAATACTCTTGGTAGCTTGCCGGGCTCTCTGAGAGGGGTGGAGGAATCCAACCCGGCTTGGCCCGGCTGGCTGCACGCAAGGCAAACGCCCTACCCGCTGTGCTATCGCTCAGATAATAACCAGCAGAGACAGGAACTCCTCCTCCCTCCCTCCCCCCCTCCCCCCGGTTCTGGATCACTGAACACAGAAGCAAACACCTTGGGAAACTCCCCATTGCCCTGGTGGGGAGCATCCCTCTATTGTGCATGCACAGACGTGCACAGACCTGGAGCTGCACCCATGAAGCACAGGGGAACCCCCCTTGGTCAGCCCTGATCACTAGACATACACACCCAGGGAAGTCTCCAGACAGAATCTCAACGTCAGTGAAGAGAGGAGCCTCTGGGACTCTCTTCACTCATCGCTAAGAAGAGTCTCTCTGAGGGCTGGAGCAATAGCACAGCGGGTACGGCATTTGCCTTGCACACGGCTGACCCGGGTTCGATTCCCAGCATCTCATATGGTCCCCCAAGCACTGCCAGGGGTAATTCCTGAGTGCAGAGCCAGGAGTAGCCCTTGTGCATTGCCGGAAGCACCATTTAGGACCCCTCCACCCCCCCCAACCCAGACAAAAAGAAGTCTTTGTCTTAAAGATGGTTGTGAGGAATATCTGAATAAACAGGTACAATATGCTTGGCACCTGGTAAGCGTTCAGTAAATGTGATTTATTATTATTATTATATTATAGTATCTGCAGCAACCAAATGACGGCAAAGGCCTTGACACTAACAATAGAAAGGCAAAATTTTTTTTTCAGGTGGGGAGGGTGGGCCACACTTCATGATGCTCAAGGCTTACTCCTAGCTCGGTGCTCAGGGATCAGTCCTGGTGGCACTCGGGACCACATGGAGTGCTGGGGATTGAAGCCCGTCAGTCCAGTGTGAGGCACTCTGCCTGCTGTGATATCTCTCTGGCCCCAGCTAGTCAAATTCTATCCTCTCACCATTGCTTAAGAAGGTATAGTGGCACTTAAAAAATTTTGAAACCATTTCTACCTCACATAGAATATTTTTCAAAAGTTAGTTAAGTTAAAAAAAAACAATGATAAAGAAAACAAAATCACAGCAGAAATGCCATCAACACTTCTATGTTCATTGCAGCACTATTCACAATAGCCAGAGTCTGGAAACAATCTGAGTGCCCGAGAACAGACAACTGGATCAAGAAACTATGGGACATGTACACAATGGAATAATACGCAGCTGTTGGGAAAAAATGAAGTCATGAAATTTGCTTATATAAATGGATGGTCATGGAGAGTATCATGCTGAGTGAGGTGAGTCAGAGAGAGGGACAAATATAGAATGATTGTGGAATATAAAAAAGAATAGTATGAGATTAATATTCAAGTCCAGGGAAAACAGTGACCAGGAGGGCAGGTCAGTGGTTGGAAGCTTGCCACAAGTGTGTGTGGGGCGAATAGCGAGAATAGAGAAGGGGCCAGTATGACGTATGACAATAATCCTTAGAATGATCACTCTAGCACTCTGGGTAAGAACTGAGTGTTGAAAGTAGGTAGAGGGGTAAAGGGGTTTACATGATAACCTTTCAGTATCTGTATTGCAAACTATAATGTCCAAAAGCGTTTGTGTGTGTGCGTACATGTGTGTGTGTGTGTATGTGAGAGAGAGAGAGACAGAGACAGAGAGAGAGACAGAGAGAGAGAGAGAGAGAGAGAGAGAGAGAGAGAGAGAGAAGCCTGCCTGCCATAGAGAGGGGCAGGGCAGGGGTTGGGGGAAGCAGAAGGAAACTTAAAGGTAAAGGGTAAAGGCCCTCCCATTGATCGTCGATTTGCTCGAGCGGGCCCAGTAACGTCTCCATTGGAGACTTTGTTGTTACTGTGTCTGGCATATCGAATACTCTCGGTAGCTTGCCGGGCTCTCCGAGAGGGGCGGAGGAATCGAACTCGGGTCGGCCATGTTGGCCGCTTGTAAGGCGAACGCCCTACCCGCTGTGCTATCGCTCCAGCCCAAGAAGGAAACTTGGTGGTGGGAAATGTACACTGATGAAGAGATGAGTGTTGGAACATCATCTGAACTTTAAAACTGTGTATTCAGGGCTGGAGCGATAGCACAGCGGGTAGGGTGTCTGCCTTGCAAGCAGCCAACATGGCCGACCCGAGTTCGATTCCTCCGCCCCTCTCGGAGAGCCCGGCAAGCTACCGAGAGTATTCGATATGCCAGACACAGTAACAACAAAGTCTCCAATGGAGACGTTACTGGGCCCGCTCGAGCAAAAAATAATAATTTTTTAAAAAAATAATTAAAAAACTCAAAGTCCATCTAGCGTGACCTATTCACCGTAGATAACATTTTACTGTCTCCTAGGCTGAGGATCAGCCAGAGTTTGGGGAGGGTACACTGGGTTCAGTGTGTCTAGGGGTGCCTGCAGCTCTCCAAACAGAGCCTTAAAGAGCAAGCAGGTGTTTGTTTGTTTTTTTTTTTTTTTTTAGGCAGTCAGGCCCTTCGAGACTCTGGTCCTGACCATGGAATCTGAACAATGCTCATGAGTCCCAGGACTCTTTTCCTGAGCGGTTTTTGAAACCTGGCTCCAAGACGTTTTGATCGAGTAACTCTTCTTCCTCATAAACCATCCCAGGAATTCCCAAAGCCCCTGGGAAAGCAGAAGTACAAAGCTTGCAGGAAATCACTTATTTCCTCCCAGGCCCTCTGCTGAGATCAGAATGAGAAAGCTCTGGAGAAGAGCGAATAAAGAACCACATGGGGGGTGGAGCGACAGCACAGCGGGTGGGGCGTTTGCCTTGCACACAGCAGACCTTGGTTCGATTCCTAGCATCCCAAAGGGTCCCCTGAGCACCCCAGGAGTAATTCCTGAGTGCAAAGCCAGGAGTGACCCCTGTGCATCACCGGGTGTGACCCAACAAGCGAAAAAAAAGCCCACAAGGCTGGGCTTTCCGTGGGCTCTACATCCTTTTACCGTTCAGCTCTTATCTGCCTCTCATTTCTAATGATTGTAATATGAGGATCAGGGTTCTGGATTCTGGGTCTTCTTCATACACGCAGTTGTTTGGGAACTGCTGGTGTAATCAGGTAAGTAACTGCTAACCCCATGGGAAATATCCGTGAAGAATCCTCCCATACCTGTGGGCAGATAAACCCTGCCCCGTACACGATGCTCCTGACGGAGGCAGAGAGAACTTCCTTGGGAATGAGGCTCTCCACAAAGATCATCAGAAAGTTATTGAGGAAGGTCAAGTGGAAGACCTGGAAGAAATTCATTATGAGAAAAAGGCAAAAGTTTTTCTGGGTGAGGACTTGTCCCATCATTGAGATGGCCGAGGTCCAGGGGAGATCCTGTCCACTTTCAGGGAAAAGCTTCTGGTTTTCCTTGGGGCCTCCTGGAGGTGCAAAGCGACTTATGTGGTACGTGCCCAGGCAGAGGCTGGCGGCGGCAAGAAGAGCGACGAAGATGACAGCGGACTGGAAATTGTGCAGCAGTTCTGCGTTAGCCGAGGTGAGGCCGCAGAACAAGATGCTGGTTGAGCCTCCCAGGAACGCCACTTGGTTGCTCTTGATAAACTGCTGCCGACTTTCGCCTCTGGAGAAGATCTCTGCGAAGAGCACACACTGGGCTTGCTGGACAAAGGTCAACATGCTGTTGAAAGCACATAATGAAGCCACCAAGTGAAGGCCACTGAGCCAGTCCCCTTCCTGATAGTCTTTCCAAGGGAACCAAGGAAGCAGGGAGGCAATGATGTATAATGGGCCACCGAACCAGAGAGAGCTATGACGATTGTCGCAGCAGTCGGTCTTGGAGTTGTTGTGAAAATACCCAGTCAGATCACTAATGGCATTGCAGATCATTGAAATCACCTAGGCAGAAGAAAATGCATGATTGATTCTTTTAGAGAAAGGTATATATGCTTGTGAATAGGAACCCTGAAATTTTACTAAATGCAAAGTGACCAGAGCTGATGGGTAAAAATGAGCTCCTGACTTTTAGAACCAGCAAGAGGAGTGGGGGTGTGAGGGAGAGAGGGAGATGAGTACAGCTGAAAATAATAATAATAATAATAATAGCAACAACTAATGCCTCGCCAAAAGTCAAAGTGCATTCACATAGTGTTTCAGCACTGTGCTACTGTGGGTGTGATAATTCTTCAAATCCTTCAAATAATCCTATGAAGTAGGTACCATGATATATATTTTTATTGTTACTGTTACTGCTGCTGTTGCTTTGGGGCCACTACTGGCGGTGTTCAGGGCTTACTCCAGGGTCTGTGCTCAAGGATCACTCCTGGTGGGGCTCAGAGGAACACATGGTATGCTGGGGATTGAACCTGGGTTGACTTTGTACAAGGAAAACGCCCTACTTGCTGTAGTATCGCTCAGAGCATATAGAAATTATAATAGCACTGTGACACTGTCCTCCCATTGTTCATCGATTTGCTTGAGTGGGCACCAGTAACGTCTCCATTGTGAGACTTGTTGTTACTGTTTTTGGTATATCAAATACATCTCGATAGCTTGCCAGGCTCTCTTGAGAGGGGCGGAGGAATCGAACCCAGGTTGGCAGCATGCAAGGCAAACACCCTACCCGCTGTGCTATTGCTCCCCCAGTAATTGTAAAAATAATATTTTGGGGGATCACACCCAGCTATGCTCACCCAGCTTATACTATCACTCCGGCCCCAATTATTATTTTTGTTATTATTAATATTGCCGGGCTGGAGTGATAGCACAGCAGTAGGACGTTTGCCCTGCACGCGGCCGATACAACCAACCCAAGTTCAATTCCTCTGCCCCTCTCGGAGAGCCCGGCAAGCTACTGAAAGTATTGCGCCCACACGGTAAAGCCTGGCAAGTTCCACGTGACGTATTTGATATGCCAAACACACAGTAACAACAAGTCTCACAATGGAGATGTTACTGGGCCCGCTCAAGCAAATCGATGAACAACGGGAGGACAGTACTTCCTGTGCTTTCATTAATATTCCCTCTTAACAAGAGAAGTAGAGGGTCAAAGAAATTAAGCAAATTAGGGGGCCAGAACGATAGTATAGTGGCTAGGGCGTTTGCTTGCACACAGCCGACCTGGGTTCAATCCCCGACATCCCATATGGTCCCCCAAGCACCGGCAGGAGTAACTCCTGAGTGTAGAGCCAGGAGTAACCCCTGAGCATTGCTGGGTGTGACCCAAAAAAAAAAAGAAAAAAAGAAAAGAAATTAAGCAACTCGTCTCACTATTAAATTACAGAGCCAAGTATGAGCCAAAGTACAGTCTGTACTTCCCATAATTGTGCAAAGCTCCCTCCCCAACTCCAAGTGGAAAAGGGTCATAGCAGAATGATGCAGCCTGCTATATGCCATGGCAAACCTTCACATGATTTCATTTTTTTAATTAAAATATCAGTTTACTAACTGAAAATAGTGAAAAGAAAAAAAGACTGGGGGAGGGCTGGAGATAAACCCATACAGTAGAGGGGATAGACGCTTGCCTTGCATATGGCTGACCCTGGTTTGACCCCTGGCACTGCATACGGTCCACTGAGCAGCACCAGCAATGGTCCCCTCTCCCCTCCCCCCAGAGTAGCACTGTCCTCCCATTGTTTATTGATTTGCTTGAGCGGGCCAGTAACATCTCCATCGTGAGACTTGTTGTTACTGTGTTTGGCATATCGAATACGTCACGGGGAGCTTGCCAGGCTTTGCCGTGCGGGCGAGATACTCTCGGTAGCTTTCCGGGCTCTCCGAGAGGGGCGGACTGATATGTTCTGGGCCATGGGATAGAGAAATAGTAGTGGATAAGGTACTTGCCTTGCACGAGGCTGATCCAGGTTTGATCCCTGACACCACATATGGTCCTCTAAGCCCCGCCAGGGGTGATAACTGAGCAGAGAGCCAGGAGAAAGTCCTAAGTACCATTGGGTGTGACCCAAACACAAAAGTCAGAATATTCTTGAGGGGCGTAATGAGTGATATTGGAACCAAGGAGATCGCTCCAACGACTAGAGTCCACGCCTGGCTTGAACAAGGCCCAGAGTTCATCCCGGGCACTAGGTGAAGCCTCCCGGGCTCCCAGCGTCTCTGACCTGGGGGCAGTCTTACAGCACCAGGCTAAGCGTTGAACTGTCCAGCCCGCCCAGCTGGCCTGAGCATTGCTAGGAGTGACCTCTGGGCTCTCTGAGCACCGCTTGTGGCCTCCCTACCCCTTCAAAAAGGAAAATAAATTAGTAATGCTAGAAACTGTATGGATTTGGGGGGGCCCTAGGGAGGGCTCAAGGGGCTGGAGTGCATGCTTTACACCCAGGCACAATTCCTTGCACCACGTGGCTCCCACAGGCTACTAGGAGCAACCTTGAGCACTGAGCTGGGAGTACTGCCTGGTGTGGCCAAAACAAAACGAAAAAGATAAAATACATAGCAAGGTTGCTTTATTTATCTATTTTTGTCCTGCCACCGCCTGCTCCCTGTAAAGGCTTTTTAATACCAAAAATCCTACCCATTCTCACTCATCATCTAATTAACAATGAATTATAATTTATGAGTAACGTGGTTCTTTTCAAATTCTTAACAATTCCACGTGTTCCACACCCATGAATTTTTTTTAGAAAACCAAAGCTTACTCTCTAAGCTCTAAAGCTTCTTGGGAATGTGAATCTGTGTTACCATTTTGAATAATGCCAAAGAAGCTAGAGGGACGGCTACCGTATAATCCAGCAATTCCACTTTCAGGTATTTAGCCAAATAATATGAAACACATTGGGACAAGAAAAATATGTTCACCCCAAAATTCACTGCAGCATAATTTATAAATAGCTGAGATATAGAAGTTACCAAAGTAGCTGTTGCTAGATATGTGGACAAAGAAGATGTGGCACATTAATTCAAAAAATACTACTCATGGGCTGGAGCGATAGCACAGCGGTAGGGCGTCTGCCTTGCACGCAGCCAACATGGCCGACCCGAGTTCGATTCCTCCGCCCCTCCCGGAGAGCCCGGCAAGCTACCGAGAGTATTCGATATGCCAGACACAGTAACAACAAAGTCTCCAATGGAGACGTTACTGGGCCCGCTCGAGCAAATCGACGATCAACGGGAGGGCCTTTTACTTTTTTACTACTCATGGGCCAAAACAGAAGTACAGCAGGGAGGGTGCTTGCCTTCCATGCAGCTGACCTGGGTTCAATTCCTGGCATCCCATATGGTCCCCTAAGCACTGCCAGGAATAATTCCTGAGTGCAGAGCTAGGAGGATCCCTAAGCATCGCTAAGTGTGACCCTTTAAAAACAAGCACAAAGAAAAAAGAAAAAGGAGAAAAAGAAGAACTACTACTCAGCTATGAAAACATGCAATTTTGCCACTTAAAAAAAATGGAATGAACTCTAAGGAATTATTCAAAGCAAAATAAATGAGAATACAAAAGCATTGAATGATTTCACCTATATGTGGAATACAAATAAATATCACTGTCACTGTCATTGTCCTCCCGTTGTTCATTGATTTTGCTCGAGTGGGCCCAGTAATGTCTCCATTGTGACACTTGTTACTGTGTTTAGCATATTGAATATGTCACGGGTAGCTTGCCAGGCATTGCCGTGCGGGCGAGATACTCTCAGTAGCTTGCTGGGCTCTCCGAGAGTGGCGGAGGAATATAACCTGGGTCAGCTGCTTGCAAGGCAAACGGCCTGATATATAAATATATATAAATATATATATATATATATACATATATATATCTAACAGAACCAAGATCATCTGCGAAGAGGAAGGGCAAATAGTGGGAGGTAAAAATAAAATTAGAAAATTAAATGTTGGGTCAAAGACATACTACAGTAGATAAATTAGGCACATGCCTTGCTTGTAGCCCATTCTGGTTTGATTGCTGGCACTGAGCAAAACCAGGTGTGATCCCTGAGCACAGAGCCAGGAGCAACAACTGGGCACAGCTGTGTGTGACCCATAACCGTCCCCTCCAAAAAAAGAAAACCCTTATACAATTAATAAAATATTATATTATATTAGGGTTCTGTGAGTAAACATTTTAATATTGAAAAAATAAGTAGGGCCAGAGAGACAGTGGGTTAAGTGCTTGTCTTGTATGCAGCCAACCTCCAGATGCAATATTTGGTCCTCACCCTCTCTGGGAGTGATCCCTGAGCACAGAGTCAAGATTAAGTCCTGAGCCTCCAAAGATCAAATAAACCAAAAAAAGTCAAATTTTAAAATAAACTCTAAAGGTCAGAGCGATAGTACAGTAGGTAGGACACCTGCCTTGCATGGGGCCAACATGGGTTCGATTCCCAGCATCCCATGTGGTCCCCTGAGCATCACCAAGAGTAATTCATTAGTGCAGAGCCAGGAGTTAACCCCTGAACATCAACGAGTATACCCCATAAACAAAACAAAATCCCCAAACCCTCTTTTTTTGGGGGGTGAGGACTGGGGAGGGCATATCTAGTATATTCAGAGGTTCTCTTTTTTTTGAAAGGGGTCACACCCAGCGATGCTCAGGGGTTACTCCTGGCTCTGCACCCAGGAATCACTCAGTGCTCGGGGGACCATATGAGATGCTGGGGATTGAACCCAGGTCGGCCGTGTGCAAGGCAAACACTTCCCCATTGTGCTATTGCTCCGGCCCCTCTACACTCAAGAACTACTCACTCCTGACGAGGTTCAGGGAACCATATGGGATGCCAGGGATCAAACCTGGGTCAGCTACATGCAAGGCCCCGTTCCTTACCTGCTGTACCATCTCTCAGACCCCATTTTGGTTCATTTTGGAGCTGCACTTAGGCACTGCTCCCGACTCAGGAAACAATGAGGTTTGGGAGATCAAATTTGGACCTCTGCATGCAAACCACACACTCCAGCCCAGCTTCTCTGTTTTAACTGTCTTTCTTAAAGTAAAGTAAGTAAAGGCCCTCCCGTTGATCATCGATTTGCTCGAGCGGGCCCAGTAACGTCTCCATTGGAGACTTTGTTGTTACTGTGTCTGGCATATCGAATACGTCACGGGGAGCTTGCCAGACTCTGCCGCACAGGCAAGATACTCTCGGTAGCTTGCCGGGCTCTTTTAAAAAAAAAAAAATAATAATAATAATAAGTCCTTTGCCCTCAAATAGAGGGTCTTGAGCCAAGACAACTTTTTCATAACTCCCTGAGTTATGTGAGGAAGATCATAATGTGGAACTTTGAGGAAAGAGAAACTCTCCGAGGCGGAAGTCAATAAGAGCTCCATCTCACCTGCGCTTGGTAAAAGGCCACATCTGAAATCTTGTATAGTTGTAAAAAAAGCTTCACATAGTAGAAGCTAAAGACGTAATTTAGCGTCACAGTCCCGAATGTTATCATAGAATATGCCCACACAATGCTTTGGATGCTTAAAAATGTCATTTTCCATGTGAAGAAATTTTTCCTTCAGTTCTTAAGGGGAAAAAAGAAAATAGTTAACATTTTGCTGTAGCACCGTCCTCCCATTGTTCATCAATTTGCTCAAGCGGGCGCCAGTACTGTCTCCACTGTGAGACTTGTTACTGTTTTTGGCATATCGAATATGCTACGGGGAGATTGCCAGGCTCTGCCATGCGGGCAGGATACTCTCGGTAGCTTGCCGGGCTCTCCAAGAGGGATGGAGGAGTCGAACCCTGGTTGGCCACGTGCAAGTCAAACGCCCTACCCACTGTGCTATCGCTTCAGCCAACATTTTGTTATTTGCTTATAATTGCTAAAATGTGGCAAAATTCTATAGGATCTAGTTCATTTTCCTAATCATTTTTTGCTTTTTGGGTCTCACCCAGTGATGCACAGGGGTTACTCCTGGCTTTGCACTCAGGAATTACTCTTGGCGGGGTTTGGGGGACCATATGGGATGCTGGGAATCAAACCCAGGTTGGCCGCACTGTACTATCACTCCAGTCCCTCTTTGTCTTTTTTTTTTTTAATAGGGCCACACTGTGGAGTGCTCAACAGTAACTCCCAGATTAGAAGGAAAGAGGACCAAATTGAGACCTACTGCTTAGGCTGTCTCCCCAGACCAGCCTAGTTAATTTTCATTAAATAAGAAAGATAAAAGGGCCAGCCAGATAGTGCAGGAGTTAAGGCACAGGCCTTGCAAGTGGCCCACTTAGATTGCAGATCCCAGAACTGCACCTGGTCCTCTGAGCACCACCCGAAGTGATCCCTGGGCACAGAGCCAGGAGTAAGCCCTAAGCATGCCACAAAACAAACAACAAAACAGAACTCAAAAACAAACAACAAAACAGAACTCAAAAACCAGATTTATAACACTTCACCTCCTTTCTAATTCCACTCAACATTTTTAGTGTTAAGAAATGCAGAAACCCTAATTTGCATAGAGTGTGATGCTACTTGAATCTATTTTTTTCTAACACCTATTGTAAGAGTGAGATGTGGAGCTGGGGAAAAAGCTCAGTGGCCTGGAGCACATGCGTGGCACACAGGAGGCCTAAGTTCAGTTCCTGGCACATCATGGTCCCCTCAGCATCACCAGGAGTGATCCCCAAGTAATGCCCCCTCCAAAAACTGCTGGGTGTGACCCCAAAACAAACAAGCAAAAAGATATTTATTCTAGTTTTGGATACGCTTAAAGCAGAGGTTAGGAGAATAGATTTATGGTATTACTACCCTCCCTACTGTGAATGACAGAAAAGCAATCAGAAGTGACATTATTTAACTGAAATGGGAGAGAGAGAGAGAAACAGAGAATAAAAAGCCAACCTCTAGCAGTCGTATAGAGTTATCTGTTTATTCAGTAGCTTGCACTGGAAGATTTGTTCTTTTTAAAATCAAATAATTAAAATGGTTTTATTTATAGAAATATGAGAAGGGAGGGAAAAGGTAGAGGGAAGTACACATTGCAGATTGAGATGTGCCTGTATCTCTAAGAGAAATGCTACATATATTTCTTTGAGGGGTGAGATTTTGGGGGCCACATCCAGAAGTGCTCAGGGCTTCCTTCTGGTGCAATTCTCAGGGATCAAACGAGGGTCTGTTGGCATGCAAGAAAGCGCCTTACCCCTGGTACTATCTCTCCAGCCTTGATGATTTTTTTGATCTTTTGTCAGACTAATTTTGCTTCAAAGGACACATCAAAGATGAAGAGAGAAATAACATGTCTGTTCCCTGCTCTGACACACGTGTTCCTTTGAAATCAAGTATACTGTCTTACCCTTGCAGTGACTTGATATACCCAATCAAAAGAAGAAGAAGAAGAAGAAGAAGAAGAAGAAGAAGAAGAAGAAGAAGAAGAGGAAGAGGAAGAGGAAGAGGAAGAGGAAGAGGAAGGAGGAGAAGGAGAGGAAGAGGAAGAGGAAGAGGAAGAAGAAAGAAAAGGTTAATCACGCAGAAGGTGGGTCTACATTCATCTTCCAGGGGCCCAAGCAATAGTACAGCGGATAGGGCATTTGCCTTGGTTCAATCACCGCATCCTATATGGTCACCCTGAGTACCACCAGGAGTAATTCCTGAGTGCAGAACCAGGAGTAACCTCTGAGCAATGCCAGATGTTACCCAAAAAGTCAAAAAGTAATAAATAGACTCATCTTCCTTTAATTCTGATTAATTTTTTCTCTCTTTTGTCCTTTCATTCTCTTCCTTTTCCTTTTCCTCTCCCTCCTTCTTTTTTCATCCTTTCCTTTGCATTTTTTCCCCTGGGGTGGGGAATCAGAGGTTACTCCTGGTTCTGCACTCAGAAATTACCTCTGGTGGTGCTTGGAGGACTTTGTGGGATGCTGGGGATCGAACTCAGGATGTCTGTGTGTAAGGCAAAAGCCCTACCTGCTGTACTATCACTCCGGTTCTTTTTTCCTTTCTTGCGCTAGGCATTGAACACAGGTTTCTAAGCCCTGATTTTGCTCTTCTTTTAAGATAACATCAATCATGGTTTTCCTATTTTTTTCCCTGGTTTATTGGAATATTTGGCTAGATCTCCACAAACAATCTTACTAAATCAGAAAACAAGTATTTAAATAATCTGCAATGTTACTTGTTTAAAATACTTGCGATGTTTAAGTAGGCAGCACAATCTATATTGCCCAATTTCTGGATGCAGGGAGTGAACATTTGGCACTTAAGATCAAATTTGCCCAAGTTTCTGAGCTTCACTTCACATTGAGTAGATCTAACAGTAATTCTAATTGCATGGTAAGTAGGCTCCTAGAATTGCCGAAGGCAATATTTATTTATTTATTTAATTTTTTTGACTTTTGGGTCAGGCCAGGTGATGCTCAAGGAGTGTTAGGGTATCATATGGGATATTGGGGATCGAACCCTGGTTGGCTACATGCAAGGTAAATGCCCAGCTCACTGTGCTATCATTCCAGCTCCCCACCCCCCAAGGCATTTACTAAACCTTTATGTAGACCAAGCATTGTCTGAATATTTTGCCCATATGTGTACTTAAAATGTTTGTAGATTCTGTTGCAGTGATAAAATAGAAATCTAATCTGGGGGGTTATGATACAGCATTCAAATACATTCAAAGTATTAATTGGAGGTCAGCTAACATTTTTGGCCTTAAGAATAATTCTCAGATTTCAAATGCTGGAACTCCTAGTGAAGCTCTCACTCTAGGAAGTTGTTTTTTTTTGCATAGTGAGAATGAAAATACAGTCTAGAGGTCACTGGGTTACTAAGATGACCAAAAACGGGAGGGCAGAGAGAAGGGACAAAATCAGTAGACCCAAAAGCTAGGACAGTAATTTAGTCCACTAAAAAGTAGGAACTCCTCTTTTGCTCAGTTTTATTCCAGGCCTGCTAAAACAAGAATGGTACCACACCTTCTGAAGGCAGTTATTTAAGTCAGAAGGCAGTTATTTATAAACCCAGAAATTTTCAAAGGGTCATAAACTCACTGAATTCAGATTTTTTTTTCTTTGTTTGCTTGTTTGTTTGGGGGGGGACACACCCAGCAGTGCTCAAGGCTACTCCCAGAAGGGATCAAACCCAGGGCCTCCTGCATGTAAAGCAAGTCAAGCATCTGCACACCCTCAACACATGCACACTTTGGGGGGAGGGGGTGGTGGAGGGTTGGTTTTGATTTTTTTTTTTTTTTTTTTTTTTTTTGCTTTCTGGGTCACATCCAGCGGTGCTCAGGAGTTATTCTTGCTCTGCACTCAGGGATTATTCCTGGCAGTGCATGGGGAACCATATAGGATGCCAGGAATTGAACCTGGGTTGGGCACTTGCAAGGCAAATGCCCTCTGCCCTCTCCACTGTACTATCACCGTAGCCCTCAGTTGGCCCTTTGAATTATCTTTCTTACCTGGAGTTTAAATGTGCATTTTTTTTTTTCAAAAAGTTGAGTTCTTAGGGCTGGAACAATAGCACAGCAGATAGGGCATTTGCCTTGCACTCGGCCAACCCAGGTTCGATTCCCAGCATCCCATATGGTCCCCTGAGCACCACCAGGAGTAATTCCTGAGTGCAGAGTGAGGAGTTAACCCCTGTGCATTGCCGGGTATGACCCAAAAAGCAAAAAAAAAAAAAAAAAAGAAAGTTGAGTTATTTTTATATAAGCACCATCCTGTCTGAAACATGTGAATATGGGGGCTGGAGCGATAGTACAGAGGGTAGAACATTTGCCTCTCATGCGGCCAACCTGGGTTCAATCCCCAGCATCCCATATGGTCCTCCAGGCATTGTAAGGAGTGATTCCTGGGTGCAGAGCCAGGAGTAACCCCTGAGCATCACTGGATTTGACCCTAAAAAGAGCAAAAAAGAAGAAAAAGGAAACCTGTGAACACAAGGTTTTAATAACATGATATAGCCTCAACTTCTCCATTTGTTAGATCTATATGTTAGATACATGAATGCATGTTTGCATATATACATTCATGTATAAATAAAGAAAAGTGAAAATCTTACTTCTATCTAAAGAAATGCCTACCTAAAAAATTACTAATACTTCTTTTTAGATTATTTTCATAATAGTATAAACTTTTTCAGTATCAAAGTAAAAATCGCTTCTGTTATTTCAATGCCACCACTACTAAAAAAGTCCCTCAATGATATGATAGAATAAGAACATAAAATCTGGGACCAGAGAGAGGCTAGAGCAGGCAAGGGGCTTGCCTTGCACGAACTCTATCCCCGGAACTCCAGATGGTCCAGCTGTACCAGGAGTCATCCCAGCAGAGCCAGGAGTAAGCCCTGAACACAGCTGTGAGGTGTGGGCCCAATCCCCAAGCCCCCCAAAGAAAAAAATGCTAAATCTTTACACCCCAGAGCAAAGGACTTCTGAGACAGTCTTTGTTTGCTTTGGGGACACACCCAGAGGTGCTCAGAGAACTTTTTCTGGTTTCTTACTCTAAGATTACCTCTGCCCGTGCAAGGGGACCACACGGTGCTGGGAATCAAACCCGTAAGAACATAAAATCTACGTGCCAAGCATGCACTCCAACCCACCAAGCTGTCTCCCCAGCCCCTGAAGCTGTTCCCACCAAAAGTTTTATACAAAATGTAGAGCAGCAAGATGGTATATGGGTTAGAATTAGGGCAGGCACAGGAAGAATCCATGAATTACTCCATGAATACCCAACACCTTCCTTTGAGACCAACTGAAGTTTTTTCTTATTGACTAACTTAGTACTGAACCAAAGAGGAAGAATGTCACTGAAGAGAGCTTAGACTTGTGTCTAAGCAGTGACTAGACACTAAAAAAAAAATAGGACTCCTCAGGGCTGCCACCAGAAAGGTAAACATCTCCTTCCAATGCAGTTTTTGGTTAAGCTCCTCCAGGAAATCAACAGTGTTCTAAAGAACCCACCAGTTGGGTCTGGAGTGATAGTACAGTGGGTAGGGTGTTTGCCTTGCATGCAGCTGACCCGGGTTCAATTCCCAGCATCTCATATGGCCCTCCGAGCACCACTTGGAGTAATTCCTGAGTAGCCAGGAATAATAATAATAGCCAGGAATAATCCCTGCACATCACCGGGTGTGACCCAAAAAGAAAAAAAGGAAAAAAAAAAAAGAACCCACCAGTCATCTGTAGGGCACATGCTTTGCATGTTTGAGGCCTAGGGTTCAGTGCCCTGCACCACACACATGCAGAACCTAGTAACACCAATGTCAAATACTTAAGCAGCATAACGCCATTTAAAACTCTCAGTAACTTCAATTGTGCAGTTATATACCAAATCCCATTGCTTAACAGTGAAGGTTTCAATATGCTCAATATGCCTTCCCACTTCAAATCCAAGGGAATTTCTATTTGGCAGGAAAAGTGGGGGGGGGGGGGAACGCAGGTATTTTCCATCTGATGAATCAGTGACTTTAAGAAAAGGAGGCTCTTGAAGGTCAGCTGGACAATTCAAACCCCTGAGCTTCCATCAGTCACCCAGCAAATCCTAAATCAATCATTTCTCTGTCAGGGAGCTCTGTCTGGAATGACTTCCTGGAAGATAAGTTGGTTTTTAATGATTTTCTTTTAGCTCGGGAGTAATACTGCTTCTTGACTATAGGCAACTGGGACAACCAAAGGGACTTCACTTTCTTCCTTTTTTAAATCTTAGCAAATAAAAAGTAGGTCAGTATCCGTGTGCCGTTTCCTATGGCTATGTTCAGAGGAAAAGGGATTTGTAACTTTCAACATCCCCTTTTCTCATGACTATCACTTGCTAATACCATGACTCTTTGTCACTGCTTGGCATTCCACTATGAGCACTGCTATCTTTTATCCGCTGTACTTTTACCTTCACATCAAGGCTGTACCCTGACCTTCTGGTCCTCACCCTATTTCAAAGGTTCCGTGTTTTATCTGCAGGATGAGGGTAAAAGCCGCAGACCGCGGGCAGGATTTACTTCGATGTCTGCGGAAAACAGCTTTCAGGACTGCCCGACTGCCCGGTCCTCCACCCAGCGCTACTGCCGCATTCTCTCCTCTCCAGATGCAATGTCATAGCCCCTGCGGCTGACCCTCCGGCCTTCGGACCTTTAAAAAGCAGTGTGTAAAAAAATGCACGCCAAAAATAATAATAATAATAATAATATTTTGCCCCCTTCTAATTAGAGAGTATCCACTGAACTTTCCACTCGCAGATACTCAAGCAGGTCTCACGTTTTAGGGGCAGTACAACGGCCTGCGGGTTGGAGATGAAGGCTTAGTTATCAAGGGGAAAAAAGAAAAAGAAAAAGCTAGCCGCCCCAGACTCCCACACCCCACAGTAAATTTCCACGCAGCGGTCAAAAGCCAGAATAGGCTGGCTGGGCAGTGGACATCGGGGTGCCCGGCACCCTCGGCAGTAAGGACGTCCCAAGTCAACCGTCCAGTTTGGAGGCCGGACGCAGCCTGTCCACTCTGGTGGGCTGGCCCGACACCCACTAGGGGCAGCGGGAAGGCCGCCAGCGCCGCACTCCGGGACCCCAACGCACACCGAGGAACAACGCAACGCAGGGAGGAGGGCGGGCCCTTCGGCCGCACCCCTTCGCCTTCTCCCCGCCTTCTTTGTTCCTCCCAGAGTCACCATTGGCTCCTTGCCCACGAGACCGGGCGAACCGCGGGGACTGCGGCGAGCCGCGATTGGACGGCGTCGCTGCCGCTCGGCCGGCGGCCCGCTCGCGATTGGCCGGCGTGCCGCCGGGGGTTTGAATCGCTGCCCCGGCCGGGGAGGGTTTTGCCGAAGTGCCACGTTGGGTCGGGCTGCGGCTGTCGGAGCCGGCTCGGGGTGCGGGTCGCGGCGCTCGAGCCGGGCCGCGGGCCGTTGGGGCCGTCGCCAGCCGGGAAGCCGGTCCGTGGCGCGCGCGTGTGGGGCCGCCCCGCGGCGGGCGAGCGGCTCCGATCTGGCTGCGCGGCGGCGGCGCGTCCCGCTCGAGGGCGGCTCTGGCTGAGGGCGGAGGGGCCCGCGGGGAGCCGGGGGCAGCGGCCGAGGCTGGACCGCGGCGTCGGGGGCCGCTGCCCCCGGAAGGGCCGAGCGAGATGCTGTCGGGGAGCCTGATGGAGGAGTTCGAGGTGAAGGAGGACGAGCGGTGGTACGACCCCCAGGACCTCCAGCAAGGTGAGGCAGGGCGGGCGCGGCCGGCTCGCGCGCGGGCACGCTGCGGGCCGGCACCTCCTCCGCCCCGGCTTTAGGAAACTTTCCGAGTTGCCTGTGCTCCCGGCGCCCGACGGGTGGCAGGTGCGGGCGAAGTCGGGGCGCTCACCTGCGTGGGGGACCGGCCGCACCTGCCCATCCCACCCCGGGGCAGCCTCTGCGCGCGCCCGAGCTTCTGCGCAGTGAGCGGCCCCGTGGCCCGGGCGTGCGGGGCGCCCCGCTGCCAGGCGCTGTCCCCGGGTTAGCGGCTTCAATGCTCCCGGCGTTCCTGGGCGCCCCGAGAAGAGGGGCTCGTCCTCTGGGTGGGGGTGACCGGAGCCGCCGCGGGGTAGCAGGAGACGCAGAGGTCTGTTATCCCCATTTCCCAGATGCGGAACGCGGTGGCTGGAAAAGCGCAGGGACTTCCTCCGAGTTGGGGAGGCGGCGGCGGCGGGGACAAGGAACCGGGAGGCATCATCACACTCGACAAGAGGCTGCGCAGAGCCCAGCCCCTCTCTCTGCTGGACAACTGGGTGCTCTGAGTTACGGCCTCAGTTGGGGGTTAGATCTTTTGTTTCTGGGGGGTGGGAGGGGGATGCTTCAACCGGCTTCTAAGTGAAACGACGTCAGGGGACTCTAGTCTCTACCAGCCACCTTGCACTGGAGCTTTTCGAAAGCAGGCTTGTCTCCAAAGAACAACTCCGAGTAGCCTTAAGTTTGGGACCAGCCCTCCGCCAGTCCCCACACACACGCACTACCTCCGCCCGCCTTGGTAAAAGAGCCTGAGCTTGCAATTAGGTAACTTCTCTCTCTCTCTCTCTCTTTTTTGCTGCCCTAACACTAGAGCCCATTCAGTCCTCTGAAGGGACGCAGCTCTTGGGTTGGGAGAGCTGAGGATTCAGCAGAACTGATGGGGCTGGAAAGAGCGCACAACGGCTAAGGCTTTTTGTCTTGCGCACTGCTGATCCGGGTTCGGGCCCTGGCACCCTGGCACCGCCAGGAGCGATCCCTTGAGCACAGAGCCGGGAGCAAGCTCAGAGCACAGCCAGATGTAACCTATACGGTCCCTTCCCCCACACAGCCCAAAATAAAACGAACAACTGAACATTTCTTGGGAATTTGGGGGCTGCGGGGTGTCACACCTGCCTGTGCGCAGGGCTTATTCCCCGCTCTGCACTCAGAGATCACTCCTGTCAAACTTGGGGGAGCATATAGAGTGCCAGCGATTTGACCCAGGTCAGCCACGGGCAAGGCAAGTGCTGTACCCTCTGCACTATTCCCTCCGGGCCCTCCTGGGAATTCCCCCCCACTGCTTCTGTGGGTCTGTGTAAATTCTGTTCTTCAGTTCTAATTCCGCTCTGAAAATTGATATCTTATCAAATAGTAAATGATCAGCATGTTATACCAACCATTGAGCTTGGGGATTACAGTAACCCTGATTTGACTGATTCAGACTTAGAGAAGGATCCCTTTGGCAGGAAGGCGGTTTGTTAAAGGTATAGACCATGGACAGTTTTGCTCAGTCCACCATTAGGTGCATTTGGTCAGCGCTGTTTCGTGTCCACCCTGTGATGTTTGCGTCGGGTTCCTTAGATTCTTGTACCTGACAGATTTGTCTTCCATTTTAGCAAACCTGTTTTCAGAATTCCCCATAAGTATTGATGGCCTAGTTTGATACTTCTCCTGGATTAATGAGGCAACCGCTGTGCACTTGCAACATTCCCCTCAAATAAATTAAGCTGATTGGTTAATGGAAGCCGAGTAAATTTCTCTCCTGTATTTAAGCAGCAGAGATCTGTATAGGCATGTTTTCTGAATAATACTTAGCACATAATAGAGACGTGATTTTAGTATTTGTTGAACTTGAACTGAGATATGCCAGATTTTAGCTTGCATGACTCCCTTCTATAATCCACCTTAGTCCACAATGCACGTTCTTCCCCCAGGGGGGTTCTTAGGGGCCATCGGTTATAATAGTTAAGTCTGTTGAGAAACAAGTGCCCGTTGTTGGGTGTGTGTATTAGAACTCCTTAACCTCTGATGAGAACATCAAGTATTTAAGCGTATTGAAACCTTAACCTCGGACCAAAACTCCATGATAGCACTTTGTGTTTGGAATTTGTTCTGTTTTTCTTTTTTTCCAAAGGACTTTTACACCTGTTATCAGGTGGACCTTGAAATTATCTTGGATATTGAAAGAGTGTGTATGTGTTTGGGGAGGGACAGAAATAGGTGCAAAATGTCAACAATTACAACTTGTGTGATTGGAGTGATAGTACAGCAAGTAGGGCACTTGCCTTGCACCCGGTTGACCCGGGTTCGATCCTCAGCATCCCATATGGTTCCCTGAGCACCACCAGAAGTATTTTCTGAATACAGAGCCAGGAGTAAGCCCTGAGCATTGCTGGATGTGGCCCCTAAACCAAAAAATTAATTAATTAATTAATTAATTAATTAAAACACTCACAACTCTTGAATATGGCCTATGAAAGAATGAAAGTTGCACTGGTATCAGAGGTGCCAGTTTTGCTAACGCACTCCTGAAGCTCTAACGGGTTTTTAGATTTGTTTCTCTAATTTATGGTCTACTCAGTGCCCCCGAGGCTGAGGGGTCTCAGGTCTGTCCTGAGATGGGGCCAATAGGATCCTCCTTGGGAATCTGACAGTCTGGGGGCCAGAGAAGTGTCTTACCAGATGTAGCCATTATGTATGTATGGGGATCGTTGCTGCTGAATGAAGTGTGGAGTCAGGTCAGCTGTAAACAGGTTGGGTGGGCTTTCTGTGTAGACGTCTATGCATTCTTTTTATTTTGGTGAAAAACTAATTTACCAGGGTTTAGAGCAGTAGTACAATAGGTAAAGCACTTACCTTGCATGCAATGCCAGTTCAATGCTGCCACCCCAGATGGTCCCCCAAGCCCACCAGGAATGATCCCTGAGTGAAGAACCAGGAATAAGCCCTGAGCACTGCCAGCAGTGGCCAAACCACTCCCCCATTCCCCCTTCCCATGATTTACAAAGTTCTTGATATTGGGTTTTAGGCATATAATGTTCTAACACCAATCCCTCCACCAGTGGCCACTTCCTTCCACCTCTGTCCCCAAGTTCCCTCCCACCCATCCCAAAGCCTGCCACCTGGTCAAGCACATTTTAAAGTTTGATTGATTGTTGTAGTTTGGATCTCCTGATTTCAGAGTTGGTGACTCTGGTTTGGATATCTCCTTTTTTTTTTTCTTCAGTGTCCTCACAGTTCACTTTATTGAGTGAACCTGGTTTAAGTGACACAAGTCATTATTTAAGTGGATTGAATCTTTGTGTGAAAGCTAGCTGCAACTTTCTTTTCTTTGTTAGTCTGGTTTTTGTCTGGGAGCCGCATGTGGCGGTGCTCAGGGCTTTCTCCTGGCTCTGTGCTCAGGGATCGCTCCAGGTGAGGTTAGAGGGGACCACATGTGGTGCTGGGTATCGAATCCCAGTGGACCGTCTGCAAAGCAAGTGCCTTACCTGCTGGTACTTTGCAGCCTCTGAAGGTTTTTTTTTTTTTAATTAAAATTCTTACTTTGGAAAGCTCCACCATTGTCAGATACACATAAAAGTGTGAAGGTAGAAGGAGAAAATTCTCTGCTTTCACGAAACACTCCGATGAAGTGTCTTTTGTCAGTGGGCTCAGCTGACATGGTAAAAATGCTGACAGTGATCTCTGTGGTAAGATCCTTTCTGGGGCAGCAGGTAATGATGGTGCTTGCCTTGAAATGTGCCCTTGAAAACAAGGTGGAAGCACTTCAGAGGCTTGAGTTTTCTTTTAGACCAGCTGCTATTATAATTGTAGTTTGGTGAGCTGTGCCAACTGAGACGAGGGATTCAGGTTTCTATTATATGAATCAGCGAATAGAAGTCTGACTTTGAAGGGATCCTAAGATTTCTCCTTCTTTTCAAGCCAGAGTACATTTTTCCCTTGTGCGCAGTGGATTTGCCGAATCACTCTTTGGAGGGTCATTCAAACAAACGAACACCATCAGATTTCTTGGTGTTTATATTCTGTTGGGTTCCTCTTTCCTCCCCGATTACAGTTTGGCAACAGGAGGTGCAGAGCATCAGCAGATGACGCATTTGACTTGGTAATAGGACAAGCACCCAGCCTTAGTGTTATTGAATTACGGCTACGGTCCACTGTGAACAGAGCAATAAGTGCTCCTTCCCTTCCTCTTTGAGAGAACAGAAGATTTCACAGTAAGAAAAATCACAGGAGTAGTGGGATTGAAAGGCTTCAGAATTCTGAAAGAAAAATTTGTTTAAAAAGCCACTCTAGGGCCTGGAGCAATAGCACAGCAGGTAGGGCGTTTGCCTTGCACGCAGCCAACCCGGGTTTTATTCCCAGCATCCCATATGGTTCCCTGAGCACTGCCAGCAGTAATTCCTGAGTGCAGAGCCAGGAGTAACCCTTGTGCATTGCCGGGTGTGACCCCCCCCAAAAAAAGCAAAATAAAATAAAAAGTCACTCAGAAGAGCTTTTTTTTTTCCCCTTTTTTCCCAAAGCACTGGGCTTGTGGAGCATCTGTTTAAGCCCAGAGTTTACACTGTTCAAATTGATTGTCACTTGCAAAGGCCAATGAGGGAAGGGTGTGACTGTGAACATATTGATAGGTTGTAGTTGTCAAGCCTGTGGTCATTTCAGTGTCTCCCCGAAGCCAGTTCGACTGATTTAGACCTCTTCAGTAAAATTCTTATTGCAAAATAAAAACGAATGGGTGCATAAAGCTTCAAAAACTATGTAATATTTTTCTTTTGTGCCTTAATTAGAAGTAAAGGACACTGACTATTCCCCGACCCTCCCCTTACTTCCCCCTAATTATTTAGAAAACCTTCTTGGGCTTACTGCCAACTTTTGACTCCTTTTGGTCATGGAAGCCAGATGCTACACAACAGGAAATGGACTTTTTTTTTTTAAGACCAAAAAAAGACCCTGGTCTGTAAACTAACAGATGAAGTAATGTCCGATTATACAGTGTGACTTCACAGGCGTTCCTCTCGTAGTTGAGACTTGTCTTGCCAGAATCCTACCCTAAGCACCTATGAAATATTTAGCCGACTAAGACGGCAGGTTACTGAACCACGCTGGGCCTTTGTTCAACTGGAAATAAGGGTGGCGATAAGAACAAGTCTCAAATTCTTTTCTGTTATTTACTGTAAGAGTGCTACACTTGGCATCTCTTTCTGCTCCGGCAGGAATGCTGCTGCTCGCCTCTACTAAGTAGGGTAGGTAGTTTCACAATTGAAAGTCGCTGCTGGTTTCCAGGAAGCCTGACTCTGGAAAAGCTTTCAGCTCGGGTTTTTTTTTGTTTGTTTGTTTGTTTTTCTTAATTTTTATTTTTATTAGTGAGACACCATGAGGTACAGTTGTAGACTTTCAAATTTTGTGGTTGGGTTTCAATTATACAATGATCAAATACCCATCCCTCCACCAGTGCCCATTTCCCACCACCACGGATCCCAGTATCCCTCCCACCCCCCCATCATCCCCATCCCACCCTGCCTCAGTGGCAGGGCATTCCCCTTTGTTCTCTCTCTCATTTTGGGTGTTGTGGTTTGCAAAAGAAGCATTGAGAAGCAATCATGTTTGGTCTGTAGTCTAGTTTCAGCATGCTTCTCCCATCCTGGGAGGATCCTCCCAAGACCCTTTATTTGGTGCTCCCTTCTCTATCTGAGCTCCCTTTTCCCCTAGCATGTGTGGCTGGCCTCCAAGCCATGAAGCAAAATTCCTGGTATTAATCTCGGCCATTCTTGGGTGTTAGTCTCCTATTTTGTTACTTTATGTTCCCCAGATGAAGGCAATCTTTCTATGTCTACCCCTCTCTTTCTGAGTCATTTCGATTAACATGATACTTTCCATGTAGTACCACTTGTATGTAAATTTCATGACTTCGTCTTTTCTAACAGCTACATAGTACTCCATTGTGTAAATGTACCAAAGTTTCTTTAACCAGTCATCTGTTCTTGGGCACTCAGTTTTTTTTCCAGATTCTGGCTATTGTAAAGAGTGCTGATCCCAGAGAGGCAAAAAAGTATAGTCGAAGTGACATCAGCTCGGGTTTTGATCTTGAGTTAAGAATGCTTCAGGCTGAAGCTATAGCACAGTGGGTAGGGCGTTTGCCTTGCAGGCGCCGACCCAGGTTCGATTCCCAGCATCCCATAGGATCCCCCGAGAACCTCCAGGAGCAATTCCTGAGTGCATGAGCCAGGAGTAACCCCTGTGCATCGCTGGGTGTGACCTCCCCTCATCGCCCCCAAAAAAGCAAAAAAATAAAAAAAAATGCTTCAGAGGGGCCGGAGTGATAGTATAGTGGGTAGAGCACTGACCTTGCATGCAGCTGGCCCTAGGTTTGATCCCTGGCTTCCCATAGGGACCCCTCCAAGCGCTGCCAGGAGTAATTTCTGAGTGCAGAGCGTGGGGTTCTTCTGGGTGTGGCAAAAAAAAAAACAATCAGAGGAATGTGGGGCTGAGATAGTATAGCAGGTGGGGTACTGGCCTCACATGCGGCAATCCAAGTTAGATCCTGGCACCCTAGCCCTGCCAACAGTGATCCCTGGGCAGAGCCAGGAATTAGCCCTGAGCACAGTTGGGTGTGCCCTCCTACCCCCCCACCCCCACCCCACCAGCAACAACTGTTAAAAGGTCTTCTGTGATTCTCTAGTCTTTCCCAGGGAGAAATTACTCCCCACCACTGGCCAGGAGAGACTTAGTAATGTTTCTGTGTAGCTGGGGCCCCGTGGGCCGGCTTTTATAGGGGCACTGTGTGTACATACTACATTCTCTGAGTGCGAGATAATATTTCTCATCTCCAGACACACAGAGTTCCTCTCCATAGAGTGAAAACAGGATAGCAACTCGCCAGGGGTTGTTTGCATTTTCACCGACAGCACATGCAGTAAAAGCCAAATTCCTCAGTCCTTGCCATTTATGAAAACAAGTGAAAGGATGCAGCCCCATGCCTAGGGGCGGTTTGTACTCTGTCCCTGGGAGATGTGTGTCAGCATTAAGGCCCCAGACTAAACACCGAGTCGTGTGGAATTAAGGTTGCAGGAAGGCCCCGTGGCTAATGTTTGACTCATCAGACAAGTGCCATGCATTAGCATCTCGTGCTTCCAGAAGCTTCACCTGAAAGACTGGATTGAATCCCTTGAAACCATAAAAACTGTTGTCTCTTAAATGCTTTAAGTTCTTTGCAAAGGTTCCGTGTCTTTTGAATATGATACTGTATTATACCTGAAGTCTTAAATGCACCAATAGATGCTAATGTTTATTGCTTTATCGTGGGGATGTCATATCCAGCAGGACTAAGGTACTTGGGGACCACTCCCAGCTCTCTGTTCAAGGCTGACCCCTCCCCAGCGGTGCCTTGGTGTCAGGGACTCGACCTGCAGGCAGAGCACGTGTGCAGCCCACGCCCGTCTCTCTGGCCCTGTGTTAATATTTAAATTAGGTGTTTAAATCTGTTCTCTCATCTCTACCAACTACTGTTGCTGCTTTATTTAAAATGTGTGTTAGGACCTGGGAGGTAGTTCAAAGGACTAATGTGCTTTGCATTCTGGAGTATTGAACTTGATCCCCTGAGCCCCTCTGGGTATAGCCCACAAATAAAAATAAATTAAAAAATTGGATATGAATGTATTTAAATGAGCTGAAACGTGTTGTGTGGTAGCATTCTTGGTCTCCTCCTAATGAAAAGCTATCCAAGTAAAATACTAATTATTCACTTGACTGGGTAGTACTTGGTAACAAAGGTATTGCTTTCCCAGGGCCTAGAGTACGGGGTAAGGGAAGCTGGGGCTTGCCCTGCAGACCCCCCCAGCACCCCTTGCATGGTCTCCCGAGCCTCCCTAGGATTGATTCATGAGTGTAAGGTCAGGATTAATCCCTGAACACCACTGGGTGTGGCCCTCCCAAAATTATGATAATAAGGTAAAGGTAAAGGCCCTCCCGTCAATCGTCGATTTGCTTGAGCGGGCCCAGTAACGTCTCCATTGGAGACTTTGTTGTTACTGTGTTTGGCATATCGAATACGTCACGGGGAGCTTGCCAGGCTCTGCCGTGCGGGCGAGATACTCTCGGTAGCTTGCCGGGCTCTTAAAAAATTTGAATTTCCTCTGTGCCATTTCACCTGTCACTGAGTACAGAAAATCCTCAAACTGTGATTTTGAGTTTTTTGTTTGCTTGTTTGTTCATTTTTGTTTGGGGGCCACACCCAGAGATGCCCGGGGGTTCCTCCTGGCTCTGCATTCAGGAATTACTCCTGGCTGTGTTCAGAGGCCCATATGGGATACCGGGGATCAAACCCAGGTAGGCCACATGACTGTTTGCTGTACTATCGCTTTTCCCCTCAAAACTGATTTTTAGGAGAAATGATTTTGTGCAACAAACCCACTTTTCTAACTGGTTGATTTATCAGCTGATTGGCTGATGGATTCTAACAAAAAAGGTTCTCTTCCCCAAAACATCATCAAACTTTTTTGTTTGTTTGTTTGGGGCCACACCCAGCTCTACTTAAGGCTTACTCCTGGCTCTGCTCACAGGGATCAATCTGGTAGGGTTTGGGGGACCGTCTGGGAAGCTGAATCCAGGTAGGCCATGCGCAAGGCGAGTACTCTACCTGCTGTACTCTCTCTTTGGTCGCATCATCAAACTTTTCGATAAAGATTCATGATACTTCTAGCATTCGGGATTCCTTTGTTATAGGCGTTCATTCACGTTCTCACCTGCTTATTCCAGATCAGAGTTGCGGGTGGCCAGAGCTTATCTGGCAGCTCAGGACATGAAGCGGGTACCAACTCAGCAGTGACAGTCCACAGCAGGGGTGTATACATGGCCACATTGTCTGAGGTTGGAAGGTTGGGACACGCCTTTGGGTGTGTGTGGGTGCCTCTAGGAGAAGCCCCAGGAAAAAAAACCATACAGACTAGGGAGAAGGGCTACCTGCACAGAAGCCTGCCCTGCGAGTTTTGTTGTTTGTTGTTGTTTGTTTTTCGGGAGCAACACCTGGCAGCTCTCAGGGTTACTGCTGGCTCTGTGTTCAGGGATCATTGCTGACCAGGCTGGGGGCATCCTATGGGGGAACAGGGATTCGAACCAGGGCTGGAAGACAGGAGCCCTACCCACTGCTCTACTCCCTCTCTCTGATCCCTCCTGCCTTCACCTTCCTCCTTTTCCCCCCCTTTTTTTCCCTCATCAGACTATCACAAAATGGTATAATTTGAGGTCCCGCTGTGTATTGAGTCTTGGCTCATTCTTGCTTTAAAGGGCTGGATCATAGAGAATGTTAAAATGAGATAAATTGGCATTATTCTTTTGTTTTTTTTTTGCGGGGGGGGGGTCACACATGACAATGCACAGGGGTTACTCCTGGCTCTGCACTCAGGAATTACTCCTAGAGGTGCTAAGGGGACCATATGGAATGCTGGGAATCGAACCCGGTTGGCCGAGTGCAAGGCAAACACCCTATCCACTGTGCTATCGCTCCAGCCCCATATTGGCATTATTCTAAGATTCTCTTCTTGTGTTAGATCTTCAGCTTGCTGCGGAGCTTGGAAAGACTTTGCTGGACCGCAACACAGAGCTGGAAGAGTCACTCCAGCAGATGTACGCCACCAATCAGGAGCAGCTTCGGGAAATCGAGGTAAGGGGCTCAGCAGCAGAGCTGCTCCAGCCGGCAGCAAGTCAGCTGCTGTTCCAGCAGGGAGACCAGGCTAAAATGACACCTGCAGTACAACGCAACACTGGATGACCAACCCAGACTTTTTGGAGAATGAGAATCAAATGAGAGGGGGCCTGAGAGAGAGCGCCACAGGCAGGGTGCTTGCCTTGCATGCATCCGACCTAGACTCCATCCCTGGCATCCCATATGGTTCCCCAAACCCCGCCAGTTAAAATACTTAACATAATGTCAAGTCACTGTCAAATCACTGTCCTCCCGTTGTTCATCGATTTGCTCGAGCGGGCCCAGTAACGTCTCCATTGGAGACTTTGTTGTTACTGTGTTTGGCATATCGAATACGTCACGGGGAGCTTGCCAGGCTTTGCTGTGTGGGCTCGATACTCTCGGTAGCTTGCCTGGCTCTCTGAGAGGGGCGGAGGAATCGAACTCGGGTCGGCCATGTTGGCTGCGTGCAAGGCAAACGCCCTACCGCTGTGCTATCGCTCCAGCGATTACATAATGTAATATTCAAATTAGAGTTGAACTGGAGTCTATGGAGCTAGAGACCTAGGACTGTATGCAGCGCACTTGCAAGCAGCTGACCTGGGTTTGATCCCCAGCACCCCATATGATCCCTGGAGCCCTGCCTGGAGTAACCTTTAAGCATCGTAAGGTGTGGCAAAAAAGAAGAAAAAGAAAAAACCATTTGAGATACCAGAGATTTTTGCATGCAGGAGGCCCGGACTTGATCCCTGGCACCGCAGGGTCCCCTGAGCTATACCAGGAGCAATACTAGTAATCCTAAACTCAGAGTCAGGAGAAGTATCGAGCATCTCTGGGTGTGGCACCAAAAAATAAAAAGCACAGGGCCATCTGAGATGACAGGGGATGTATCTTCAGACTCTCCGATGCATGGTCTGCTCAGATGAGCTTTCTCTCTTCATGCAAGGTTACTGAAGTGAGTCCACCAGTCACTTGATGACTTGATCCCCCGTTATTCATCGATTTACTCGAGCGGGTGCCAGTAACGTCTCCATTCATCCCTGTTGTGTGCTAGCGTAGCCCAATGACATCTGTTTGTTCTAGGAACATGCAGAGCCTCAAACCGATCATTCAGGGTCTTGACGAAGAAGTCTGACCATCTTGTAGGTGGGTGTCCACGCGACCTTTTCACATCCCGTGGAATCCAGTCAGTAATGGCTCTAGTCCAGCGGTTGTCTGTAAACCTCATTACATGTCCAGCCCATCTGATTTTTGATGCCTTGGCAAATGAGACAGCGTCCCTGATTCTTGAGCATTGACGGAGATCAGAACTCCGGATTCTATCTCTCATTTGAGTGAATCGTGATATTCCAAGCATAGCTCTTTCAGTTCCTCTCTGGGAGACCCGAATAGCATTCTCATCCTGTTTGCGTAGGGCCCACGTCTCTGAGGCATATGTTAATGCAAGAAGAACAGTGGAATCGAATAGATGTGCTCATAGCTGAAGGTTCTTTGTCCTCTTTGTTATTTCTTCGACGTTCTTGAAGGCGTTCCAAGCCGCTCTCTTCCTCCTGCTCAGCTCGGGTGCTAGGTCATTTGTCATGTTGACCTCTCGACCTAGGTACACATAGCTGTTGCATTCGGAGATGGTGGTTCTGTTGAGAGCGAATGGAGCATCAGGAACGAGGCTGTGTCTCATAAACATTGTCTTCGTAAGATTCAGCTGTAGTTCGACCTTTCCACACTCATGGTCGAAGTCGGTCAGCATTTGTGCCACTTGGCTGATGTTTGGTGTTATTAGAACGAAGTCATCAGCAAAGTGGAGGTGGTGTAGTTGATGACCATCTATCTTCACCCCCATTCCTTCCCATTCCAGTCGTCGCATGATGTTCTCGAGGGTGGCACTGAAGAGTTTTGGTGAAATGGTATCACCCTGCTGAACCCCTCTCTTGACATCGATGATTACTTCTTTGTATAATGGTGAGATCCTGGTAGTGAATCTGCAATACAGCTCACGGAGGATCTTGATGTATTGAGCTTGAATGCACTGATTGGCTAGGGCTTCAGTGACTGCTTCCATCTCAACAGAATCAAAGGCCTTCTTTAAATCAATGAACGTTAGACAGAGCGGCATCTTGAACTCCTGAGAAACCTCAATGAGCTTAGTAATCGTGTGGATATGGTCGATGGTACTGAATCCTTTTTGGAATCTGGCTTTTTCACATGGTTGTTCTTCATCTGGTGTTCTGCTAATCCTATTCAGGATGACACGAGTGAACAGTTTGTAGATGATAGACAATAGGCAGATTGGGCGATAGTTGCCAATGTCGTGGATGTCTCCTTTCTTGTATAGTAGTACAGTCCTGCTGGTTTTCCACTGGGATGGAACCTAGCATTCAGACAGGTAGCGTGTGAAGAGCCGAGCCAGTGTATTGATGAGTACTGATGGTAAGTTCTTCGGGTGTTCAGGTCTGATCTTGTCTGAGCCTGGTGCTCTTTGTTTCTTTACCGACGAGATACGAGTCCACCAGTAATCACCCATAAATAAAGTGAATGAATGGAGCTGTAAATGTCACACTTAGTTTGCCCTTTTTATTATTTTTTTGAGGGGGTGCACACCCTGCAGTGCTCAGGGCTTACTCCTGGCTCTGTACTCAGGAATCATTCCTGGCAGGTTTGGGGAACCATATGGGGTGCTAGGGATTGAGCCTAGGTTGACTGCAAGGAAAACGCCCTGCCCATCGCACTACCATACAGCCCAGTTTCCTGCTTTTTTAAGAAATCAACTAAGCAGTATTGAAGATTTGTAGAGGGGCTGGAGCGATAGCACAGCGGGTAGAGCATTTGCCTTGCACAGCCTACCAGGGTTTGATTACCAGCATCCCATATGGTTCCCTGAGCACTGCCAGGAGTAATCAGGAGTAACCCCTGTGCATCACCGGGTAAAGGTAAAAAGGTAAAGGCCCTCCCGTTGATCGTCGATTTGCTCGAGCAGGCCTAGTAACGTCTCCATTGGAGACTTTGTTGTTACTGTGTCTGGCATATTGAATACTCTCGGTAGCTTGCGGGGCTCTCCGAGAGGGGCGGAGGAATCGAACTCGGGTCGGCCATGTTGGCCGCTTGTAAGGCAAACGCCCTACCACTGTGCTATCGCTCCAGCCCACATCACCGGGTGTGATACATTAAAAAAAAAAAATCTGTAGAGCTGTATGTCGGAACAACCGCGAATACTTGGGTATGCATCCCCTTAAGCAAGAAATCTGTCTACTGTTCAGTCTCCCTGGAAGTTCCTTCGTCCAAATTTGGGTTGAGATGAAGAATTTTAAATCATAGTATCAGATTTTATACTGAGCCCAAATTCCCATGCCTTCAAAAATCATAAGTTCTTGAAGAGTGCTACACTTGCCGTTTCTTTCCACTGTGTAGACTTTTGGGTTTTAGGGTCTTGTTTTGAGGTTTTGAGGTGTTTTGTTTTGGGGGTTGTTTTTTTCCCCTTTGATTTGTTTTGGGCAACACCCAGCAGTGCTCAGGGGTGACTCCTGGTTTCTGCTGTGGGGATCACTCCTAGTGAGATTTGGGGTGCCATATGGGGTGCTGGGGATTGAAGCCAGGTCGGCCACATGCAGGCCAAGCTCTGGCCCCATGTTTTCTGTTTTTTTGTTGTTGGTAATATACAGTTTGTCTTGTTGTCTAACAAACTAAAATGGAAAATGATAGTTTAAGGCGTTAAAATGAAAGGGGAAGAGTTGCGAAGTGATAGTATAGTGGGTAGGGTATTCGCTTTGCATACAGCTGACCCGGGTTCGATTCCCCCGCATCCCATATGGTCCTCTGAACAAACTGGGTCTGCATACAAGTCAAGATCCCTGCCTGATGTACTGTGTCTTGTCTCCAGTGCTAGAAACTAAAGCAGTTTATTTCCTTTACTATAGGTAAAGGTAAAGGCCCTCCCGTTGATCATCAATTTGCTCGAGCGGGCCCAGTAACGTCTCCATTGGAGACTTTGTTGTTACTGTGTCTGGCATATCGAATACTCTTGGTAGCTTGCCGGGCTCTCCGAGAGGGGCGGAGGAATCGAACTCGGGTCGGCCATGTTGGCCGCGTGCAAGGCAAACGCCCTACCCGCTGTGCTATCCGTTACTATATTCATTAATAATTTAATATATCATATTCTTGATTTGTCCTATTCTTCCCCCAATTTTCCCTTGTAACTTTGAAAACTATTACTGTTGTTTTTTTTTTCTTTTTGGGTCACACCTGGCAATGCACAGGGATTACTCCTGGCTCTGCATTCAGGAGTTACTCCTGACGGTGCTCAGGGGACCATATGGGATGCTGGGAATCAAACCCAGGTCGGCCGCGTGCAAGACAAACGCCCTACCTGCTGTGCTGTCTCTCCAGCCCCTTACTGTTTTTTTTTTTCATGCTTTTTTTTTTTTTTTGGCCGCACCCAACCTATGCTCAGGCCTTAGTTCTGCATCTACACTCAGGGATCACTCCTGGCAGGATTTGGGGGTCATCAGGATTGAACCCAGGTGCAAGCTAAGTGGTCTGCCCACTGTACTATCTCTCCAGCGTTTATTCGTGGTCTTTTTTGGATTTAATGCCTAATCAGTAGCACTGTAGCATTGTCCTCGTGTTGTTCATTGATTTGCTTAAGCGGGCACCAGTAACATCTCAAATCAGTAGTTGTTGAAATAAGTCTCTTAGCCCAGGAAAAGCAAAGAGTTGACAAATTGCTTCCAGTGATTCTAAAATTGTGATAGGCAATCACGTCTGGGGAGTTCTTAGAGGCAGTAGGTGTTCAGGTGTAAGCCCTCGATTCTGTTGCAAACAGCTGGGGACTCTGTGCATGTGGGTCGGCTCCTGTCTGCTCCTCTGTACAACAGAGAAGGTTCTGGCTTGCACTTGGGAATAGGGTTGTTCTGAGGAGGTGAGATTATGTGAGCGTAAATGTTTTTGGACATTTTGAATGGTTGCGCAGGTTATTCATTTCTTAAGAACATTAGTAACAAAAGGATCTTTCTTCTGAAAAAAGAAATTTTTTTAGTTGCTGGAAAATAGATTTTAAAAACCAAGCTCATAACAGTTGAGATTACAGGTGGATTTTATTTTCATAGACATGTTTTCTTTTACTTGACAGGAAAAAAATAGGATATTTTAATCAGGGAAAGAGCCTTTTTTGTTTTCAAATATAATAGGAAGTATTTCTTAAGTATTGTGAAAGGCCTGTTTGATACTAAGTCCAGAAGATTTGGACTGTAATTATTAATATAGCAATAATCCCCACATGCAGAAGAGCCAAATTTCCATTCATTCTTTTTGCTTTTTAGCTTGGGTTATGTCTTTTTTTTCCCCTGCATCTCAGGTGGGGGTTATTTTTTGGAGTGGGGAAAGGAGGGGGGGGCGGCCCACACCTGGTGATGCTCAGGAGTTATACCTGGCTCTGCTCTCAGGGATCACTCCTGACCCCTCCAAGAACCATATTGGGATGCTGGGACTTGAACCTGGCTCAGCTGCAAGCTCCAAGGCCGGCAGCTCCAGGTGTGGTTTATTTGCACGCTTGCTGGTGGAACAGAGCCCAGCCACTCCCGCACCCCAGCTGGGAAGGTTGCCTGGTCCCAGTGTTTTGTGTATAACCTTGTACTCATGATCGAGGTGACAGCCTGCAAAGTCCAGGGCAGATGTGAAATACTATTCACTGCATTTTTCTACACTTGATCTTAGCCAAAAGCCCGAGAAGCAATTGCATTTTACTTCACTGTGATTTTGGTTGGTTATTATGGGGCCATACGAGTGATGCTCAGATCTACTTCTGATGCTCGGGGCTTTCTCCTGACTCTGCAGTCACTACTGGTAGTGCTCAGGAGATCATATATGACCTGGGGTCGGCCATGTGGAAGGTGATATGCAGTTTGTATATGTTCCTCACCCCTTCTGTCTCTCCAGTTCCCGCACTTATATTTTAATACTCTTCCTGTTTGTTGACTTTTTTTTTTTTTGCTCCCTCATGTTTTCGTCATGTGTTTAAAATGTCTCCAACTGGGGCCCAGAGCAATAGTACAGCAGGTAAGGCATTTGCCTTGCACGCGGCTGACCCATCAGCATCCAATATAGTCCCCTGAGCACTGCCAGGCCCGATTCCTGAGTAAGCCCTGAGCATCACCGGGTGTGACCCAAAAGCCTAAATCAATAAATAATAAATAAAAATAAAATGCCTCCTCCTGTCCAATATGTTTGGTACTTGACCCTTTTTGGTGCTTGCATTTTTGGATCTTGGTAGATTAGTCAGATTCATTTGAAACTTTCAATAATTGTAAACTGAGAAAACCAGAAAATTGGGGCCAGAGCGATAGTACAGTGGGGAGGGCATTTGCCTTGCATGTGGCCGACCCGGGTTCCATCCCCGGTATCCCATAGGGTCCCTTGAGCACTGCCAGAGGTAACTCCTGAGTGCAGAGCCAGGAGTAACCCCTGAGCATCACCTGGTGGACCCAAAAAGAAAACAAAAAACAGGAAATCAGAAATGAATCTTGAAAAGGTTAGAAAACAAATCCATTTCCTTCTAGATTTGGGAGGGAGGGGAGATATATACATATATACACACACACTAATTTGAAATTTTTGAGGCCAAACCTTTCAGTAATGTCAGATTCTGGGGTCTTACCTTCGTTCTTGGTGAGAGGTCTAATGAATTGCTTGAAAGCTGCTGACCCGTTTAGCCAGACCTTTAGTTAGGTCACCGTCCACAGAATCCTGGAGACCACAGAACTTTGCGTATTAGTTCTGAGTTAATAAGATTAAACTAGCATGTGAAACAAGAGCGCTTCCTTTCTTTTGGTCGTTCTGAAGCCAAGTACTCAAAGGCCAGAATGTGGCAAGTTTGTTCTAAATGGTTTCATTGTTTTTAATCAGGTTTTTCCAATATCAAATGAGATTTTTCTGTAGTTTTGATTGTTTTAAATAGCCTTTTGGGGGCCTGGGGGGAGAGCCCAAAGGGCTAAGTATGTGTTTGGCATGAGGGTTTGGTCCCTGGCACCACGTGGTCCCTCAAGCACCACAGGGAATGACTGGGAACACTGTTAGGTGTGGTCCAAATGCACCCCTCCCCCCCAAAAAAAGATACAATCGCCTTTTTATTTTTTTGAGAAAACAGAAAAAACAAAAAAGTGGCATATTTGTACTTTCTTCCAAGTTGACTAGTTTCCTTTTGATTGGCCATGCCTCTTATTTGGGGGCCACACCCAGCAGGGCTCAGGGCTCACTCCTGGGATCACTCCTGGCAGGGTTCCAGGGACCCTCTGGGGTGAACCCAGGTCGGATGCCTGCAAGACAAGTGCCTTGTCTGCTATACTGTGTCTCTTGCTCCAGAGACTCAAGTTAAACTCTAATTTGAACATTACATTAAGTATTTCACTTTTTTGGTTTATTATTCGAACCCGGGTCGGCCACGTGCAAGGCAAACGCCCTACCCACTGTGCCATCACTCCAGTCCAGTTTATTATTATTTTTTAGGTCACACCTAACTGACTGGGACCTAAGTGTGGAGCCAGGAGAAGCCCCTGCGTGTGCCCCTAAGCCCAATAGAAAGCCCTGATCTAGTTACCAGTTTATCATCAATGATGCTGCAAGTCCCTCTTTTTCCCTTTCTAGTTGTGCTACTGAGAAATATTGTGGATATTTTCTTCGTGATATAGATTGTGTTTCAGTGTCTTGTGGTGGAGTGGAAGGGAATCAAAGGAAGAATGTGAATGATACAAAGCTTTATGATTGATTATCGGGCTAGAGAGAGGGAACAGGAGTTCAGGCACTTCCCTTGCACCCCTGTCCGAACCCCAGCACCGCATCTGGTCCTCTGGGCATTTTACCATTGTACCATTTCTCTTGGAATGGAGCGATAGCACAGCAGGTAAGGCGTTTACCTTGCACGCGGCCGACCCGGGTTCGATTCCTCCGCCCCTCTCGGAGAGCCTGGCAAACTACCGAGAGTATCTCGCCCACATGGCAAAGCCTGGCAAGCTCCCCGTGATGTATTCGATATGCCAAAAACCGTAACAAGTCTCACAATTTGTTGTGAGACGTTACTGGTGCCCACTTGAGCAAATCGATGAACAACGGGAGGACAGTGCTCCAGTACTATCATTTCTCTGGCCCCAGGTATTCCCCTCTTGGCTTTCTTGTTTCTGTAAAGCGTGTGTTTCGTTGCTTGTTTCTAAACACCAACTGCGGGTTTCCTGCCTTTTCTCTCTAGGAGGGTTTTTATAGCTCCCTGAGTATTGGGCCAGTTATGCACTTAGAAAGCTCGAACGAGCCTCCCAGCTACTCGTGGGGATGCTGGGGAGTCCCGAGGAGGCAGCCCCGGGAGACCAAGCAGGGCTTCTCCTTGTTCCTGTTGAGGAAAGTCATTTCATCAGGATTTCAAGTCCTCACTTTTGTGAAAGTGAACCGTGCTGCTGTGGAATCATGCCAATTCTACACCCCTGGCTCTTGGTCACGCGGGTCATGGCTGAGAACTCCGAAAACCCTTGAATTTCCTGAGTGACAAGATGGGGCCTGGTTGTCTGAAAAACTGTATGACCAGGGGGGTTACAGCTCTCAGCCCCAACCCCTCCTGCCAGTCTCAGAGGAGGTACCAGGACTGGGGCTTGAGACCAATCACCAGTGATCAGTGGTCCAGTCAACCAACCATGCAATAGAATAAATGAGATTGATGGGCCAAAGAGATAGCACAGTGGGTAAGGCGCCTGCCTTGCACATGTCCAGCCCAGGTTTGGTCCCCAACACCCTATATGGTTTCCCCAGCCTTTACAGGAGTGATCACTGGGTATGGCCCCAAAACCAAACCAAACCAAATAATAAATGTTTATAACTTTGGGAGAGTTTCCAGGTAGGTGAGCCTTGGTGAGCCAGGAGAACCATGTCTCTGGAGAGGGCATTGAAAGCCCCGCCCCCCCAACACACACACGACCTCGCCCTGCATAGCCCTTCCATTTGCTTTCTATAAATCCATGAATGTCAGTAAGTCACTTTCTTCCCTGAGTTAGTGAGCCTGAGAGGAGGTCATGAGACCCCCCTTCCCCCAAATCTATAGCCCACTGTGTGGAAGTATAGGGATGTCCATCTTCCCTTGGGACTCTCACCTGAGTCTCAGGAACCACGCCTTCCTGCTGCTTGGGTTGTAGCCATTTGGCGTTAGAGAAGAGATGGAGTGTTGGTGCTGGAGTGCTCACATGACCGTCCGAACCATCCTGTCTTGCAGTACTTGACCAAGCAGGTAGAACTTCTGAGGCAGATGAATGAACAGCATGCAAAGGTTTACGAGCAGTTAGATGTCACGGCACGGGAGCTGGAGGACACCAATCATAAGCTGGTCGCCGAGAGCAAGGCTTCACAGCAGAAGATCCTGAGGTACGTGGTCAGTGGTCTCCTGAGGAGAGTGAGGGAGCAGCGCGGAGACCAGAGTATGGCCGTGCTGGGTCCGGGGTCAGTGGAGGCAGATGTTTACTTCTCTCTGGAGACTAAGACTAAGGTGGAGTCCTTCCCACTAAGAAGGCTCCTGATGTGATATCACTGAGCAGCAACTGGCTTCTGTCTGTTCCCCACAGTCTCACGGAAACAATCGAGTGTCTCCAAACCAACATTGAGCATCTCCAGAGCCAAGTGGAGGAGCTGAAGGCATCAGGCCAGCGGACCAAGGGCCAGGGAAGGAGCGAGCAGGAGAAGTGGGAGCCCAACTTCTCCTCCCTGAAGGAGCTATATGACCTCCGCCAGTAAGAGCCCTCCCGGGCACAGCGCCCTCACATTATGGGCATATTCTGCATCCTTGATGGATTCAGGGCATCCTCTAAGGCTGTACCACCGGGCGCTGGGGGCTGGAGCAATAGCACAGCGGGTAGGGTGTTTGCCTTGCATGTGGCTGACCTGGGTTCGATTCCCAGCATTCCATATGGTCCCCTGAGCACTGCCAGGAGTAATTCCTGAGTGCATGAGCCAGGCATAAGCCCTGTGCATCTTCGGGTGTGACCCAAAAAGGAAAAAAAATCAAAAACCACGGGACTGAGATGGCCCAAGAACAAAACCACATAAATACCCAAGTGAGAGTTTGAAGTATTAGAAATTTGACAGAACCTTGTTTTGTTTTATTTGGGGGGGTGTTGTTTCATTTTTAGTTGTTGTCATTATTTTGTTTTTGAACCACATCCGGCTCTGCTCAGGGCTTACTCCTGGCTCTGTGCTCAGGGGACCACATGGGACACCGGGGATCAAACCAGAGTCAACTATCTCTCCAACCCAGAGAAGATTTTTTTTTTTTTGGCTTTTTGGGTCACACCCAACAATGTACAGGGGTTAATTCCTTAAACTCCTGGCTCATGCACTCAGGAATTACTCCAGGTGATGCTTGGGGGACCATATGGGATGCTGGGGATCAAACCAGGGTCAGCTACACTGTCTCTCCAACCCAGAGAAGACTTTTGTTGTTGTTGTTGTTTTTTAACATTTGGGAACATTTATTTTCCTGCATTTAAGTAGTTAAAACAAGGTGCAGGATGAGTCCTGTGAGGGATTGTGTTACAAATGAAACCCTTTCGTTAGTAGTATTATAAACTATGGATCCTAAAATAAAATGGGGGGGGGGAGAAAAAGAAGAATTTTTTTAAAAAAAGATGCAATAATTCTGTTAGACTGCAGATTCAGGAATTGTATTTCACATTCAAGAAAAAGGGGAAATTTTACTCAAAAGTGTTGTGGGGCGGGTGGGGAGAGGGAGGAACTGCAGATATACACATGTGCATGTATCCGGGGGTGAGTCAGGAGAACAGAGTTTGAGAACTGCATGTTGAGCACCTGTTGGTTCAAGCGTACAGCAGGCCTGAGGTGTGGGGGCACAGAGAGATGCGGGTCCCACTGAGGCAGGCGGAACACCGACCACCAGACAGGGACAGCTCTGAGCTGCAAGCGATTTGGCACAGGAAGGGAGCCAGCCATGTGCCAGATGGGATTCAACCCAGTAACCGTCAGTCCCCTTCAGCCCTAGGTGGGAATCTTGTTTTTTTTTTTTTTTCCTTTTTGGGTCACACCCAGTGATGCTCAGGGGTTATTCCTGGCTCTGCACTCAGGAATTACTCCTGGCAGTGCTTGGAGGACCATACGGGATGCCGGGGATCGAACCTGGATCAACCTCGTGCAACACATACGCCCTACCCGCTATGCTATCGCTCTGGCCCCAGTGTGCATTTCTGGTTACAAAACTGCCACAGCATTGGTGCTTGCTCTGCTCTGCACTCACAGAGAGAGCTTCTAGATACAAGCAGACCTCTTATGGGGCCAGAGAGGTCGGACAGGGGTTAAGGCGCTCACACTGCATGTGGCCATCCAGGTTCTGGTTTCTTCTGTAACACTCCTGAGCACAGAGCCAGGAATTAAGCGCTATTGGCTGTGACCCAAACTGTGCCCCCCCCCATACCCTCACCTCCCAAAGAAACGCCCATGGTCCAGGGCACATCCTTTGGGGCAGGACCTGGACCTTGGTGTTCAAGTCCACCCCAATGAGCCTAATCTGTGGTCAGCGTAGAGGATCACTGGACTTGAGTGGCGCCAGGGCTACTCCTGGTTCTGTTCAGGGATCACTCCCAGCAGTGCTCGGAGGACCATGTGGGGATGGGATCGACCCCTGAGCCTCCTACATGCCAACCTTGTCAGCCTGTTGACTGCTTCTCCAGGTCCTGTTAAAAAAAAATTTAATTTTTTTTGTATGGTTTCCTGGGGCTGGAGTGATAGTCTAGTGGGTAACAGCCAACCCGGGTTCAATCCCCGACATCCCATCGGGTTTCTTGAGCACTGCCACTAAGTCCTGAGCACAGCTGGGTGTGGCCCAAGACCCACCCCCCCCCCAAATTTTTTTAAAAGTTTTTTGGGGGCTGGGGAGAAAACTCAAGTGGGTGGTACTCATGGCCTTGGGTTTGTTCCCTAGGACCACTACCCCCCTCCCAGCCATCCAAGTATCGCTGGGCGTGGTTCTGTTCCGAGCACTGCCAGAGAGAGCCGAGCTCCGTCTGGGAGGGACCCCTGGGAGCAGAGTCTACATTTCCTCTCTTAAATTTCAGTTCCTGCGCGAGATTAGGCCCACCCGCAGTGGCCTCCCAGCCCCACAATATTCAAAGGAGGGGCTGGCTGGAGCAGTAGTGCCGCGGGTAGGGCATTTGCCTTGCACGCTGCCGACCCAGGTTCCATCCCCATAGGGCCCCCCAAGCACTGCCAGGAGTGATTCCTGAGTGCAGAGCCAGGAGGAACCGCTGTGCATGGCCGGGTGTGACCCCAAAACAAAGCAGACCGCGGGCACCCTATCTAGTCCTCCCAGCACCGCCAGGACTGATTCCTGAGTGCAGAGCCAGGAGGAACCCCTGTGCATGGTCGGGTGTGACCCCAAAACAGAGCAGACCGCGGGCACCCTATCTAGTCCTCCGAGCACCGCCAGGACTGATTCCTGAGTGCAGAGCCAGGAGGAACCGCTGTGCGTGGCCGGGTGTGACCCCCAAAACAGAGCAGATCGTGGGCACCCTATCTAGTCCTCCGAGCACCGCCAGGACTGATTCCTGAGTGCAGAGCCAGGAGGAACCGCTGTGCGTGGCCGGGTGTGACCCCCAAAACAGAGCAGATCGTGGGCACCCTATCTAGTCCTCCGAGCACCGCCAGGACTGATTCCTGAGTGCAGAGCCAGGAGGAACCGCTGTGCGTGGCCGGGTGTGACCCCCAAAACAGAGCAGATCGTGGGCACCCTATCTAGTCCTCCGAGCACCGCCAGGACTGATTCCTGAGTGCAGCGCCAGGAGGAACCGCTGTGCGTGGCCGGGTGTGACCCCAAAACAGAGCAGACCGCGGGCACCCTATCTAGTCCTCCGAGCACCGCCAGGAGTGATTCCTGAGTGCAGAGCCAGGAGGAACCCCTGTGCGTGGCCGGGTGTGACCCCCAAACAGAGCAGACCGCGGCACCCTATCTAGTGATTCCTGAGTGCAGCGCCAGGAGGAACCCCTGCGCGTCGCCGGGTGTGACCCCCAAGTGGCAAAAAATAGTACTTCCATCGAGGGGGGCTTGGGGCGGATGGGGAGGACCCCCAGCCGACCCGCGTGACGCCGTGCCTCCTCGCCCCTCCTCCGCCCAGGCACTTCGTGTACGACCACGTGTTCGCCGAGAAGATCACGTCCCTGCAGAGCCAGCGCAGCCCCGAGGAGGAGGAGAACGAGCAGCTGAAGAAGGCGGTGGCGGCGCTGCAGGCGCAGCTGGGCGGCGAGCGGCGCAAGCGGCAGGCGGTGGAGGAGGAGTACGGGCTGGTGCTCAAGGAGAACGGGGACCTGGAGCGGCAGCTGGGTGCGGCCGCCGCCTGCCGCGCGCGGGCCCGCGAGCTGGAGGCCGAGGTGGCCGAGCTGCGGCAGCGCCTGCAGGCCGAGCACCCGCCGGCGCGCGGGCTGGAGAAGCTGGTGCCCGACGCGCTGTTCCTGCCGTGCCGCGAGCCCGGGCCCAGCCTGCTGGAGGAGCTGTGCCTGGCCGACGCGCCCCGCAAGCCGCTGACCCGCAGCAGCAGCGAGACGCGGCTCAGCGGCCTGGCCGGCGGCGGCGGCGGCGGCGATGTGCTGGCGGCCCACGAGGACACGTGCGTCCGGCGCGCGCAGGCCGTCCAGCAGAGGGGCATCTCGCTGCTGCACGAGGTGGACACGCAGTACAGCGCCCTGAAGGTCAAGTACGAGGAGCTGCTGCGCAGGTGCCAGGAGGACGCCGCCGACGGGCTGGCCCACAAGGCCGTGCAGACTCCCGGGGCCCTGGCCAGGGAGCCCGCGCCCAGCGCCGCCCCGCGCTCCCCGCCCCGGCCGGCCGCCGGCACCCCCGACCCGCTGGGCTCCCCGGCCACCGCCGACGCGTCGCCCCCCGAGTACAAAGCGCTCTTCCAGGAGATCTTCAGCTGCATCAGCAAGACCAAGCAGGAGATCGACGAGCAGAGAACCAAGCACCCGGCGCTCTCCTCCCACTCCTAGCCGCCCCTCTGCCCGGCCCCCCTGGCCCGGCGGGCGCCTTGGGTGGGGTGCCCCGCGAGGAGAGGAGCCGCCCGCCCGCCCGCGTGGGGCCCGGGCACGTTCTTGTGTGTAGGCGCCTCAGGAATTGCCACGACAAACTGGCCTCCGTGGCCGGTGCCCGCCCGGGTCAAGGCTGGGATGCCCAGAAGTGCTCCAGACCCAGTTGGGAGAAAGATTGGGGGGGGGGGGGGGTGTCTCTGCTCCCGAAAAGCCAGCCTGAGCCCCCGTGGGCAGACACTGGCCCCTGCCACCTTCCCCTTCACTTCTGCCTCTGCACTGGGTAGAAGGCAGGCAGACGGGATGCCACGCGCCGTCGGGTACTGTGAAGGCACCAGGAGGAATGTTCAGGGGGTGCCGGCGTCCGATCCTAAAGTACTGGCATTAGCAAGTGCTCCCGGCCGCTAGGTCTTACAGCTGCTACCAGTGGAACCCTGGTCTCTCCCAATCCCAAAGGACTGCCTGGTGGAGAGGGCAGGTTTCCTTGTTAGTCTGCGCCCTGGGTAGTGGGAGGCTGTTCGGTTCCTTTCTCAGCCGCAGAGGAAGGAGCAGGAGGAAGCCCCCGCCCACCAGGTGGCGCTGGCTGAGCCCCGCCTGCCCACCCGCCCGCCCTCCCTGTGTTCTTGACGACCCCCCCCCCCCACACACACACACCTGCTCCTTTACTAACCAGTATTGATGTTCTGACTGTGGAAATAAACTCACCTGCGTCCTTTTAATTTAAGACTTTTATTTAAGAGAACTGAGGTTTCAGTTGTTGTATATATTTTTTTTCTAAAGCCCCAATAAAACTCCCTCAGAACATGAGCACACTCGTCTATTGCTTGTTCTTGTAAACTTTGGCCATTACACACATACACACACACACACACACACACACACACACACACACACACACACACACAGCAGAACCAGAGGCTGTCCATATTCTTCCTGCCCACTAGGAACGTCTGAATGGTCACTTTTGGTTCCATTCCTTTTTAAGTAGACCTTAGGATTGTGTCATAGCGCAGACTCTGCTCAAGTTAAGTGTTTGTTAAAATTAGATCGTTGTAAGTATTTTAGGAATTCCTGCCAGATTCCTGCTTGAATAAATAGCATTTAAATAGTCAGTTTTTCAAACATTAAAAAATCCAGTCACAAGAAGGATTTGCTACACTCAAACACTAAAATGGTCACTGAATCTAAATCAGTTTTGGTTTTCGATTATTGGTTGATTTTTTTTTTAAGGGAAAAGGGTAGGAACAGATGTTTTTTTTAAAAATAGCTAAGACATTTTCAAACAGTACCAAACTCAATTTCCTCTTCCCCAGGTTCCCTACCCCCTAACTCCTCCGATATTAATTACCGCCTCCGTTCTAAAATATTCTATGCATGTATTAGAACATGAATAAGTTTTGCTTTTTTGGACTTTTTTGTTTGGGGGCCATACCCAGTGGTGTCAGAGTGAATTTGGGTCGGCTGCATTCAAGGTAAGCACCTTACCTGCCGTACTGCCTCTAGCTTTCAACTACATTCTTTCTGATGGTTGTATTCCTGCACATACAGTGCTATTATATAGTCCCTGGTATATAAATTCCTACCCGTTTGTTTGTTTTGAGGCCACCCCTGGGTGTGTTCAGGACTTACTCCTGGTCATGTGCTCAGGGATCACTTGTGAGGTGCTGGGAAGCGAACTTATATTGGCTGCATGCAAGGCAAGTGCCCCACCCACTGTACTGTCTCTCCAGCCCCTAAACTCCTGCTCTAGCTGCTACTGAAAGAATGTCCCAGAAATAGACATTTCTGGATCTAGAAGATATCAGAAGTGGAGGCCGGAGTTATAGTTAGGTGGGCAGGGCACTTGTCATGCTTCCAGCTGATCCAAGTTAGGTCCCCAGCACTACATATGGTCCCGGAGCCCACCAGGAGTGATCCTTGAGCATGGCCAGGTGTGGCCAAGAAAAGAAGACTTGAGTATTTTGCTGTAGCCATCTTCCAGAAATTCACAGATAAAAACATTTCCCACAACCAATATGCAGGTGCATAATTTCTCACCCGCATGCCAGTAAAACTTTTGACTCTTGGGGCTGGAGCAATAGCATAGTGGATAGGGCGTTTGCCTTGCATGCGCCCGGCCCTGGTTCGATACCCAGCATCCCATATGGTCCCCTGAGCACCGCCAGGGGTAACTCCTGAGTGGAGAGCCAGGAGTAACACCTGTGCATTACCTGGTATGACCCAAAGAAGCAAAAAAACAAAAAACACTTTTGACCCTTGCACAATGGAGTACTATGCAGCTGTTAGAAAAGATGAAGTCATGAAATTTACATACAAGTGGTACTACATGGAAAGTAAGTATCACTATAGCACTGTCCTCCAGTTGTTCATCGATTTGCAATTTGCTCCAGCGGGCCCAGTAGTCTCCATTGTGAGACTTGTTGTTACTGTGTTTGGCATATCGAATATGTCATGGGTAGCTTGCCAGGCTTTGCTGTGCGGGCGAGACACTCTCGGTAGCTTGCCAGGCTCTCTGAGAGGGGCAGAAGAATTGAACCCAGCTTGGCCAGGCTGGCTACTCGCAAGACAAACATCCTACCGCTGATGGAAAGTATCATGCTAAGTGAAATGAGTCAGAAAGAGAGGGACAGACATAGAAAGACTGCATTCATCTATGGATGGAATATAAAAGGTAAAGGTAAAGGCCCTCCCGTTGATCGTCGATTTGCTCGAGCGGGCCCAGTAACGTCTCCATTGGAGACTTTGTTGTTACTGTGTCTGGCATATCGAATACTCTCGGTAGCTTGCCGGGCTCTCCAAGAGGGGTGGAGGAATCGAACTCGGGTCGGCCATGTTGGCCGCGTGTAAGGCGAACGCCCTACCCGCTGTGCTAACACCCAAGAATAGTCGAGATTAGTACCAGGAGGTTAACTCAATGGCTTGGAGGCCAGCCGCACATGCTAGGGGAAAAGGTAGCTCAGATAGAGAAGGGAGCACCAAATAAAGGGTGTTGGGAGGATCCTCCCAGGATGGGAGAAGCATGCTGAAAGTAGACTATTGACCGAACATGATTGCCACTCAGTGCTTCTTTTGTAAACCACAGCACCCAAAAGGACAGAGAGAACAAAAGGAAATGCCCTGACACAGAGGCGGGATGGGATGGGGGGGGATTGGAGGGTGGGAGGGATATGGGATCATTGGTGGTGGAGAATGGGCACTGGTGGAGGGATGGTACTCGATCGTTGTATAACTGAAACCCAAGCACAAAAATCTGTAAGTCTACAACTGTACCTCATGGTGTTTCACTAATAAAAATTAAAAAAAAAACTTTTGACCCTTGCCAAGCTAGTAAAAATAAGTGTTCCAGGCCAGAAGAGAGAGAGAGAGAGAGAGAGAGAGAGAGAGAGAGAGAGAGAGAGAGAGAACAGCCTTGGCACACAGCCAACTGTAGTTCCATCCCCCAGCACTGCAGTCTAGTCCCGCTAATACCACCAGAAGTAAGCCCTGAGTTATGGTCCAAAGACAAAGTGTTTCATAGGCTCAAGTGAGAGAATGTGTGTAACCACATGAGTCCTTGGATGTGATCTCCAGCACTGCCTGTGATGGTCCTCGTGGCCCCTATAAAAGGTTCTTCACAGTGTTTTGTTTTTCTTTTCTAAATTTTATTCCCATAAAGTTGTTCACAATAGGGAATTACATTCAATATTTCAACACCAATCCCACCACCACTACTCCTCCCCACGACCATCATTTCGAATTTTTCCCACCACCACTCAAGCCTGCCCCACAGGCAGACACCAGATAATCTACTTTGTATTGCTTGTTAGGAATAGCATGAGCAGCCACACGCTCCTGTAATTCTAAAATTTTGTTATTATTTTTATTTATTTATTTATTGCTTTTTGGGTCACACCCAGCAAAGCTCAAGGGTTACTCCTGGCTCTGCACTCAGGCATTACTCCTGGCGGTGCTCAGGGGACCATATGGGATGCTGGGGATCGAACCCAGGTTAGACACGTGCAAGGTAAATGCCCTCCCCACGGTGCTATTGCTCCAGCCCCGGAATTCTAAAATTTTAAAGAATCAGGGTTCAGAGAAATCTCTGCTGCTTGGTTCTGAGATTCATCTGTGAGTATCTGGATCATGGCTGTTAATGCACTTAATGGCACCTGCAGGCAGTTCGTGGGCGTGACAGCCCGGACCCTGTTGGGGCGGGGAGATGGGAAGGAGGGCCCATCCCTGATCCCTTGAGGCCGGGAGTTGCAGTCCCTGATCCCCTATACCTGGGTTTTTCACTGGGTTCTGGGAGCTTGCGGCTGCCGGGATTCCTAGGGGGCAAGTGGAGGGCTGATGCCTGCTCCCGTCTGAGGCACCCCAGTGAAGTTGGCCTGGCGCAAGGTCCGGAGGCATCTCTGCAGCGAGCTTCTCAGTTCTGAGATTCATTTGTGAGTCCTCCTTTACATTCTTTTACTTGTTTTTGAGCCAAATGTAAAACGAAAAGGAATGTGAAGAATGTTTCCCTACAGCTTCCATTGCTTTATTAATAAGGGTCAACATTTTAAAAGTAAGGTTGAACTTTTTGTGGTTGCTGTTTGGCTTTGGTCTTTGGCCTACACCCGGGGTAGGCTAGGGGTTACTCCTGGATCTACACTCAGTAATTGCACTTGTCAGTGCTCAGGGGACCATAATGGATGCCTAGGATCGAACCCAGGTCAGCTACATGCAATGCAAGCATACCCGTTGTACTTTCTCTCCAGTCCCAAGGCTGAACATTCTAATTAAAAATTTAATAAAAGGCCATTTGTATTGTCCTTTGCCGATTATCTTTTTTCTCCACTTTTGGGGCCATACCTGTCAACAATCAGAGCTTACTCCTGACTCTGCTAAGGCATCAATCCTGGGGGTGCAGGTTTGCCATGCAAAGAAAGCACCTACCCTCCTCTCCTATGTCTCTGACCTATTCTATTATCTACGAGTGCTAGCACTGAGGAAATCTTTTGAAATGAGAAGTTGTATTCTGGT